GGGGGCCCCCGCCGAGGGCTGAGGGGCGGCGGGGGGGCCCCCCCCCCCCCCCGGGGGCCCCCGCCGAGGGCTGAGGGGCGGCGGGGGGGCCCCCCCCCCCCCCCGGGGGCCCCCGCCGAGGGCTGAGGGGCGGCGGGGGGGCCCCCCCCCCCCCCCGGGGGCCCCCGCCGAGGGCTGAGGGGCGGCGGGGGGGCCCCCCCCCCCCCCCGGGGGCCCCCGCCGAGGGCTGAGGGGCGGCGGGGGGGCCCCCCCCCCCCCCCGGGGGCCCCCGCCGAGGGCTGAGGGGCGGCGGGGGGGCCCCCCCCCCCCCCCGGGGGCCCCCGCCGAGGGCTGAGGGGCGGCGGGGGGGCCCCCCCCCCCCCCCGGGGGCCCCCGCCGAGGGCTGAGGGGCGGCGGGGGGGCCCCCCCCCCCCCCCGGGGGCCCCCGCCGAGGGCTGAGGGGCGGCGGGGGGGCCCCCCCCCCCCCCCGGGGGCCCCCGCCGAGGGCTGAGGGGCGGCGGGGGGGCCCCCCCCCCCCCCCGGGGGCCCCCGCCGAGGGCTGAGGGGCGGCGGGGGGGCCCCCCCCCCCCCCCGGGGGCCCCCGCCGAGGGCTGAGGGGCGGCGGGGGGGCCCCCCCCCCCCCCCGGGGGCCCCCGCCGAGGGCTGAGGGGCGGCGGGGGGGCCCCCCCCCCCCCCCGGGGGCCCCCGCCGAGGGCTGAGGGGCGGCGGGGGGGCCCCCCCCCCCCCCCGGGGGCCCCCGCCGAGGGCTGAGGGGCGGCGGGGGGGCCCCCCCCCCCCCCCGGGGGCCCCCGCCGAGGGCTGAGGGGCGGCGGGGGGGCCCCCCCCCCCCCCCGGGGGCCCCCGCCGAGGGCTGAGGGGCGGCGGGGGGGCCCCCCCCCCCCCCCGGGGGCCCCCGCCGAGGGCTGAGGGGCGGCGGGGGGGCCCCCCCCCCCCCCCGGGGGCCCCCGCCGAGGGCTGAGGGGCGGCGGGGGGGCCCCCCCCCCCCCCCGGGGGCCCCCGCCGAGGGCTGAGGGGCGGCGGGGGGGCCCCCCCCCCCCCCCGGGGGCCCCCGCCGAGGGCTGAGGGGCGGCGGGGGGGCCCCCCCCCCCCCCCGGGGGCCCCCGCCGAGGGCTGAGGGGCGGCGGGGGGGCCCCCCCCCCCCCCCGGGGGCCCCCGCCGAGGGCTGAGGGGCGGCGGGGGGGCCCCCCCCCCCCCCCGGGGGCCCCCGCCGAGGGCTGAGGGGCGGCGGGGGGGCCCCCCCCCCCCCCCGGGGGCCCCCGCCGAGGGCTGAGGGGCGGCGGGGGGGCCCCCCCCCCCCCCCGGGGGCCCCCGCCGAGGGCTGAGGGGCGGCGGGGGGACCCCCCCCCCGCCCCGCCCGGGGCTCCGCTCCCCGCGTTCGGAGCCCGCTCCCCCCGCTCGGAGCCCGCTCCCCCCGCTCCTTGCCGGCTCCCCCGCGCCCCCCGCCCGCCTTACCACGTATCCTCCCCACACGTAGAGAAAGTTGCCGTCCACCACGGCGCAGTGGCCGCTGCGCTCCTCGGCCACGCAGAACTGATCCGCGGGCTCCGCCGCCATCTTGGGGGGGAGGAAGAGGAGGAGGAGGGAGGAGGAGGAAGCGGCTCGGCTGCCTCAGGGCTCGCGTCCCGCCACTGCCTCCTCCGGGTGAAGCTGCGGCTCCGCCGCCGGTCGCTCCCCTGGGGCGGACGGGAAGCGAGGAGGGTCCAAAGTGTGGGGCGGCACCCGGCGCGGGTCGGGATGGGAGCGGACGGGGAGCTCCGCGCTGCCCCCTGTCCCGAGCAGCAGTGCCGGGCTGAGGTGTGAGGCGGAATAAACCGTTCGGGAGGATGTGAATAATGCGGGAGGATGTGAATAATGTCCGCGAGAGGAGGAAAGAAGCACCGAGAATAGGAGAGCTCAACGCAAACCACAGGGCAAGAAGGGAAGGAGGAGCTGGGTCCCAAAGCGGGACGGGGTTTAAGGCTTCGGGCAAGGGCATGGAGTGATGGACAAGGGGGAATGGCTTCAAACTGCTAGAAGGTAGGGATAGATGGGATATTGGGAAGGAATTCTTCCTTGTGAGGGTGGTGAGGCCCTGGCACAGGTACCCAGAGCAGCTGTGGCTGTCCCTGGATCCCTGGAAGTGCCCAAGGCCAGGCTGGACAGGGCTTGGAGCAGCCTGGGACAGTGGAAGGTGTCCTTGCCATGGCAGGGGTGGAATGAGATGGGATTTAATGTCCCTTCCAGCCCAAACCATTCCATGATCGTGTGGATTCTGTGATAAGCACAGCAGAACTCCCTGTCTCTCTGAAGGTGAGACAAGCCACACTCCTGCCAGAAACAGCGGCTATGAAATAGTAGCTGATATTAATGAAACAGCTGGACAGTTCCAGTTCTTACTCTGTTTTATCAACAACTGAGTCAGTTCTGTGACTGAACTCTGTGTCCAGCTAGAATTAATGGAATTCAAAATAAAACAGCTACAGCTCTTCAGAAATAGTAGAGTAGAACTTGGGAAAAATGTGCACTTTGGCATCTTCTAAAAGGGCATCAGAAAGTAATTGTAAATATTTTCTTGTGACAGTAGGGCATACACTTCCTCTGTTGGATCTAGGAGAGAAGATGTTAATTACTCATGTTGATAAACTGGTACTATTTAATCACAGAATCTCCTGAATTAGAAGAGACCCACAAGAATCATCCAGTCCAACTCCTAGTCCTGCACAGACACCCCAACAATCCCAGCCTGGGCATCCCTGGCAGCGCTGTCCAAACACTCCTGGAGCTCCAGCAGCCTCGGGAATGTCATCATTCCCTGGGGAGCCTGGGGACCAGCTCCCTCTGGGGGAAGAACCTTTCCCTGATATCCAACCTAAACCAGCCTGAGTGGTATTCCAGGTATTCTCTCAGTGGTGACACAGAGATCAGCACCTGTCCTGAACTCCTAAAATGAGGCAATGTACTGATGGTGCATTGGGATGGTGGTTCAAATGCAGGAGTCAGCATTTGGAAAAGGTTGAAAAAAAAACATGGGAAGCAGACAAACTCTATCTATAGATCTCTAGGTCAGGTAGAGCTGCAATGTGCTGTCTCAGGAGATGGGATTTTGCCAGTGGAGCAGTGACAGACATGAAAATGAGCTGTTTGTCAGTGTAACAATTCCATGCATCCAGGTAGATCCATGCTGGCTGATCCTGGACCACTGGACTCTCTCCAGTTGCTCTCCAGCCGCTGTGGTGTCCAGCAAAGCCACGGAAGGTGATGGAGACAAAGATCTGGGCATGGCTTGCAGAGCTCCAGATGGCTCAGTGAAACACAAGGCTGCAGCTCATGCTGGAATACTTTTATATCTCTGGTGGGAGGCTCCAGGCAACCTAAGAGAGCCCCCAAATCCAGCAGGATGCTGTAGGAGTGTGCTTTACATTCCCTGTTTGGTCATAGCTTTAGAGAAAACTATTTTTGGACTAGGGGCACATCCCTTCATCCCTTCTCCAGGTGCACCTTCCTTCATGTGGTGAGACGGGAGTTGAATGGCAAGATCAGGTTTTCTTAGAAGGAGAATAAGCAGTAATTTTAGCAAATGAAGGTACTTATGTAAGAATTGGGCTTATAATCTGCACCTAGCTGCATGCCTGCGACGAGAAATGAATAATATTTCCTGCCAAAATATGAGACCTGTCAGATGGCAGCTCTTTGTCTGAAGAGAGTAGCAGCAGCTTCACCCATGAGCTCACTCCCCAATGAGGAGCGATTATAAATTATGCAGTTGAGAATGGGCTATAGAAAATAGCTGACATTTTCTGTCTGTCTTTAAATCCCTGCAGTCTTTCAATCAAATTCTAGAGTTGCTTTGTGAGCCTTCCATGGCTTCAAGCTGCACTTTGAAGGGATGGAGATGAGTGTTTGAATGAAATAGCAGGTATTTTCCATCTGGAGAGAAGGCAGCTACCCCACAATCCTGGAACTGTGGCTGTCCCTGGATTCCTGGAAGTGCCCAAGACCAGGTTGGATGAAACTTGGAGCCACCTGGAGTAGTGAAAAGTGTCCCTGGCAATGGCAGGGGGTGGGATGAGATGATTTTTAAGGTCTCTTCACATCCAAAACATTCTGGAATGCTGTGATTGTGTAAAAACAGTCCTGAAGAACATCCTGTGCTCGCAGGACCAATTCAGAGTTAGATGTATTTGATGGATGTTTTGTGGCAAGAAAATCTTAAGTGGGAGACTCTGGAATACTGGAGATGCAGAAGAACCTGTGCTGGGTCTACAGGGAAAGAGAAGAAAGAAATATTGTGAGCTAAAATACCTGTAAAGGAACAAAGTGATACCATGGATAATTGTATTGGGTAACTGCTCTTGTCAGTCAGAGCAAGTGTTTTTTATTGAATCAGGGAATTGTTTAGGTTGGAAAAGCCATCTATGAACATGGAGTCTGCCAAAGCCACCACTGCCCTATGTCCCCATATGCCACATCTAAATGGTGTTTAAATCTTTCCAAGGATGGGGACTCCACCACTGCTCTGGAAGCCTGTGGCAGCGATGGACAACCCTTTCCATGGAGAAATTCATCACAACTTGAGGCTGTTCCCTCTCCTTCTATCCCTGTTCCCTGCGAGCAGAGACTCCCTCAGCTGTCCCCTCCTGGAAGGGAGTTGTGCAGAGCCAGAAGGTCCCTCCTGATCCTCCTCTGCTCCAGGCTGAGCCCCTTTCCCAGCTCCCTCAGGAATTCTCCAGCCCCTTCCCAGCTCCCTCAGCCCCTCCTGGTACTCCAGCCCCTTCCCAGCTCCGTTCCCTTCTCCAGACACGCTTCATCCTCTCCATGTCTCCTGTCACGAGGGTCCCGGAGGTGGCCTCAGGACTCGCGGTGCCCCAGCAGCGCCAGCTCAGGGCACAGTCCCCGCGCTGTGGCTGCCCCAAGCCGGCTCCTTCAACGCCGCCGTTCCCTCACGGGCTGAGCGGGGCCGGGCCGGGCTCCTCCCGCGGCGGGGCGGCCCGGCCTGAGGGGGCGGCCCGGCCGCGTTTGGCGCCATCGCCGCCATGGAGCCGGAGCGGCTGCGGCGCCGCCTCAGCTCCGCGTTCCGCCTGCGGGGGCTCGTCCTGCGCCCGTGAGTAGCGCCGGGCCCTCACCCTGCTCCGGACCCTGCTCCGGACCCTGCTTGGGAATGCTCCGGCCCGCGGGGATCGGCCCCGGGCGGGCCTCGGGCCCGGGCTGCGGTGGGACGAGATGGGGCCGGGGCCGCTCCGCATCCCTTCTTCGGGGTGTGCTGCGGCCTTTTCCTCCTCTGCCTCCTCCCCCCGCAGCGAGGCCTCCGGAGGCTCCTCCAAAGCCATCTTTTGCCTGTCCTGCTGCTGCGGGGCCCCTTCCATCCGTCTGTGCATTCCTCTCATAACCGTGGGTGCCACCAAAAGCTGCCTATGGTCTCCCCTTGGAGCCCTCCCTGATGCTGGTGCCGGGTGTTTGGTTGAGTTTTTTTGTCTGCCTCTGACCCTGACAACTCTGGAATCTCGTTCCGAGTTCCGCTTGCCAGTCTCGTGTTCAGCATTCTTTGCTGGAGGAAGAAATGGCATTTCCAAAGACAGGGATGCTGTATTTCCAAATATAATAGGATGTATTATTTAGAGATGCCAAGGTCAATGAAAAGGGATTCCTGTTTGCAGTGGAAAGTGTCATGACTTCTAAGAGACTAGGTCTCCCATTGCTCTTATTTTCCCTTTATTTCTCATGTGTCAGTATCAGTTAAATTCTCCTTCTGTCGTGGATGGGATGTGATTATTTTGGACAGTGCCCTGATATTTCATTAGAGAGGAGCACAAGTCCAGAACTCCTGACTCCACAGTTCCATGAGATGAGACATTTTGAAGGTCAGGCTGATAACCAAAATGCCAGTTTGGCTGGCCAACAGATGGCATTAATAAGAAAATTATCTTTAATGTGAGACTCTAGTCTAAGGTTGAGGGAAGAACCGAATTTCTAAATCTTGTATTATTGAGAATTGAAATAACGCCACCGGAGCAGATCCTGTGGGGGCTGTTGGGGTGGTCCTGGGCTGGAGGCTGTGGTGTGTGAGGGCAGCTGGAAGAGCTGGAAGTTCTGCTCTGGTGCCATCCCAGCTTCAGGGCTACAAACAGGTTTGGAGTCCAAAGTGAGAGGGACACGGAGATGCTGGAATGAGTCCGGAGAGGCCATGGAGCTGCTCCAAGGGCTGGACCCCTCTGCTCTGGAACCAGGCTGGGAGAGCTGGGAATGCTCACCTGGAGAAGGGAAGGATCCAGGGAGAGCTCAGAGCCCCTTGCAGGGCCTGAAGGGGCTCCAGGAGAGCTGGAGAGGGACTGGGGACAAGGGATGGAGGGACAGGACACAGGGAATGGCTCCCAGTGCCAGAGGGCAGGGATGGATGGGAGATTGGGAATTGGGAATTCCTGGGTGTGAAGGTGGGGAGGGGCTGGGCTGTCCCCGGATCCCTGGAAGTGTCCAAGGCTAGGTTGGACACTGGGGCTTGGAGCACCCTGGGACAGGCAGGGAGTTGGAATGGGATGAGCTTTAAGGTACCTTCCAATCCAAACCATTCTGGGATTCCATGATTAGAGGGATTAGAGAGTAGTTTTTGTAGTTCTAGATATACAAACAAACATTCTTTAGAACCATGACATGGAGAGGATGTGAAGGATTTGGGTTTTTATTTAGCCTCAGGAAGGGAAGATTCATGAGGAGCTAATCCCAGTATTCCTAAAAGTGAGAAGTGTTCTCAAGGATGCACAGTGACAGGGCAAGAGACAATGGGCACAAGCTTAATTTAATTCTTCACTGTAATAGTAATTAAACTTTGAAGTTGATGGAGGAGAGAAGTGCTGGAATCTCCCTCACTGGAAATACTCAAGGCTTGGCTCCATGGGGCCCTTGTGCATAACTCAAGCCCTGCTTTCAGGAGAAGGTTGGACCACTCTGTCTCCAGAATTCCATTCCAACATGGAATTTTTGTATGAAGCTGAGGTTCTCCACGACTTTCCCCTGATATTTTCAATCCCCTGATATTTTCAAGTGATCTTCTTCTTTGACTTAAACCAGTGTGCTGTTATGCAGTACTAATTATTTCTGCTTTTTAACCACAAGCCATGTGGTGATGATGTGCACACCTGCCAAAATCAGCACAGTTTGTGGAAACTATTGAATATTAATCACTTTTTGTGCTTTCTCCTCTGGGATTAGGGATGCCCTGAAGTATCTCATCGAAGCTTTCCAGTCCACCAGTGAGGGAGAACTTGATGATATAATTGAAAATGTCATCGATGCAGTTGAAAAACAGCCTTGTAAGTAAACAATTCCTTTTTCTTCATCCAGTTTTCCTGGCATTTCTGATGTTATCAAGACAAAGACAGTTACTGGCAGCAGAAGCACTGAGGTGTCATTGTAGTGTAAAGGGTTGATTGAGATAAATGTATATTTTTGCCTTTTATTTTGGTTAAACACTCAAGTTTGCAATGTCAGCAGCAGACATTTGTGCCATTTAAGGAGCTGGCAGTGCAGCATATCCTGACTTTTCCAAGAGTAGTCAAATTTTTCAGTGACAGTTACTAAAACTTTGTCTGGACATCTTTGCACCTGAAACTGTAATTTTAAATATTAAAATGTGAGAGACACTATTCACACATGGAGTGACAGGACACAAGGAATGGTTTCCCACTGCCAAAGGGCAGGGTTAGATGGGATATGGGGAAGGAATTCTTCCCTGGGAGGGTGGGGAGGCCTTCAAACTAATTTCATCAGTTTAAACCCATGAGAACAACAATGTGCCCATCTCCAGAATTGTGTTGGAGTACTTATGGCAGCAATCCGTGTGATAATGTTCTGGAACCAAATTAACCTCCAGAATGTGAAAGCTCAGCTCTAACACACTTGGGATATATTTGGCAGCTTTGCATAAACTGTAATTGTCTTGTTCTCCATGTTTAGGGAATTCAGGGTGAGCCCAGTGAGTGTGGGGTATTTTTTCCCTGGGAATGTGTCCTTTTGGTGGCAATATTAAGTGATCCATCTGTGTGTCATCACAGAAAACACCTGTTATTTGTGTGTATTCCCGTGAGGAGACTCAGCCACTTGAGGTGGAACATTGGAGACTCACTTCCTTCCTTGCTGCAGGTTTAATCCTTGGGATTTTTCTTTCCAGTGTCATCCAATATGATCGAGCAGCCCTTGGTGGAAGCAGCTGTCCAGGAATGCAGCCGGGCCGCGGATGAGGCGATGTAGGGTGACATTATAAATTCTCCTGGGAGTTCTGGGAGCTGCTGTCATTTCCTTCTTCCTCCTGAACACCAGGCATTTTCTGCCCTGCTCCTCTCACTGCTCTGTGCTTTTGCCTTCCTGTGCTCCAGGTCGCTCCTTGGGGCGTTTGTTCTCCTGGCTGGGCCTCCAGGGGGTCCTGGATATGATCTGACTTGCTGGAATTCATCTGCTGGGGTTGTGTGTGCTCTGTGCCACAGGTTGAATATTAACCAGCACTTCTGGCCATGCTTTATTTGCTTTGCTCTACATGAAAGTTATCTCAGGTTGCTTTTGTTCCTTTCTTTTCTGAAAGCACTTTGGAAAATTTTTCCCTGTGGGGTGCTCGCTCCTGCTTTTTTGTTTAGTTTTTTTGAAGCCCTGATTGATTTCCTTTCTGTGATAACAAAGTGTGGAGCAGTTACTGGAGTTTCTGAGAACTTTGAGATCCTGATGGGTGTGTTTCCTTTTGTGTTCACATCATGATGCAAAGCATGAAAAGAGATGGTTTGATGGGCATGTCAGTTAGATCCTGTCACCCCCCAGCCTCTCAGGATGGAGATTTGGGTTTAACTTTGCTCCTTGCCGCTGGAATCTTTACAATAGAGATGGTTTGAGTGTGACTTCTCTTTGTGGTGCTTTTTTGTATTTAATGTAGGGGTTTTTTTTCTCCACAAGTGAAAGAAATCCATACGTACAGATTCTCAGTGAAGAGTCCTGAAGGGAAAAGCTCTACAGATCACAGGGAGAAGTCTTTTTAATTATTTAACTAGAAGATGGAGGAGAAAATAGAATAGAAAATAGAATAGAAAACAGAATATAAAATAGAGAAATTATGATGATAGTGAACAAAACAAATGCCATTTTATCCAACATACCTGTTAGTTTGTTTCATCCACTTCAAGGAGTCACAGAATGGCTGTGCTTGGAAGGTAACATTCAGTTAATGCTGTAACTGTTCTCATTTCAGAGAAAATGTTTTCAACATTATTGGAGCCTTTGACATTCCACGTTTTATTTATAATTCAGAAAGAAAGAAGTTTCTGCCGTAAGTCTCCCATATTTTAAGTTTCAAGCACTTCCTGTTTTAAGAGCAAAGCCTCCATTTCTATAGGATAAGTCTGGTTTTAATCATTCCCTTTTGGGTCTGTTCAACTGAACCCTGAGTGAGAAAGGTAATAAATGTTTAAGACCATAAACCAAGTTTATGCCACCTAATGAATAAAAAAGACAGTGAGGCTAAGGACATACATCACGAAAGGTAGTTTGGGGTTATTTTTTTTCTCACATTGGGCTGTTTAAATTTATTTTTTTAATAAATTTGATCTGTCTGTTGCCTGTATTTATTTCTTAGTCTGTAATCTTGCAGCTCCCTGAAGCCCTGGGGGTTTTCTAAGGAGAGCTCCAAACAGTAGAAAAGAAAAATTAGGAGCAGCTTTTGTTCACAACTGCTTAAAGGCATAACTGCTTTTTTAAAAATGGATTTCTGCAGAGGCCTCTTTGGGTGGAAGGATAAATCTCAAGGCCTGTGAGTTAGAGGGGGATGAAATGGATGTAGAAATGCAGAAACACAGGATCCCGAGCAGGAACGTCCCTCAGGGAGTACCTAAATCATGCTGTAGCTTTTGCAGCCTCCCAGACCTTTTAGATAAATAAACCATTCTTATGTGTGGAATATCCCTTTTTAAAACTGTGACTGTGTCAATTCCTTGCAGCCTGTCCATGACTGACCTGCCTAGGCCGAGTTTATTTGGCACTGCCAGGGACAAGGCGGAGCTGTTCCGGGAGCGCTACTCCATCCTCCAGCAGGTCAGCAATCTCTGCAGGTGTCCACAGGGATGTATCCCACATCTCCTTCCAAAAATACATCCTGCTGCTGCACCTCTCTGCCTCACAAACCCTCTGCCTTCCAGCCTGTCACAAGTAACTTCTTGTAGCAGCCTTACAGATGCTTTTATGACGCTTTTTTTAGGCTTGGTTTTATCACCTGCTGCATTTTTTTAGGTTTAGTTTTATTATCCAGTGTCATTGGTCATCGGTTTCTTGGAAACAAATTCTTGTCAAAAGGACAGAATTATTAAAAGTTGCTGGATGAAATAGAGTGAGAGCTTTCTGAAGTGTTTTGCATGGTGCTTGTAGCAAACTGGCTTTTTAAAAGTTAACAAACTCACTTGTTTTTAAACTGAATCACTTCAATTTTGGTTTCTGCAGAGGATTCACAGACATGAGCTGTTCACTCCTTCACCAGTTGCTGCTCATCCTGATGATAGCAAGAGCAAATTCCAGGTAAAAAATGGAGTTCTTTCCAGTTTTAATCCAAAAAGTCACAGCAGCTCTTTATGCTAGCAGCCACTATTGGGAATTTTCTCCTAAGCCCCATTCAGAAATGTGGCTGTGACTTTTGTAACAAGCCTGGCTCATTGGTGGGTTTCTGTAAAACCAAGTCCTGTGTGGGGCTTTGCCTGGCTTGGCAAAAGGCACCTGGAGAGTTTGATTTGATTCTGACTGGATTCTTTGCCTTCCATCCCAGCTCAAGACAGTAGAAACTCTCCTGGGAAATACAGCTAAAATGGAAGAAGTGATTGTGCTTGGGATGATGACTCAGCTCAAGGAGGTGGGTTCCTTTTTATTGTGGAGTCTCTGATCACTGCTCATTCGGTGCTATAATACATTAAAAAATGAGAAAACTTCAATATCTCACACTTGACCCATTCTCAGGGACTTCTCCACAAGCAGTCGGTGCCAGTGTGTGTGGAAAATGTCTTTCTTTGTCTTCACACTTTAAAATTTTTTATGTCAGCAAGCAGAAGCAGTTAGGGTTTTTTGGCATGTTCCTTCTTGAGAGGCTGGAGCTTCCAGTGGCTGAGTTTGGACTTGCCAATGCCCTGAACTGTGATTTTAGGGAGGGGAGCATCAGCAATCCCAACTGCAGCAGCTCCCAGGGAAGTGCTGAGATACATTTACTAAACGTAAATATATATTTATAAACTAAATTATTTGCCTGCTTAAACCATTAAACCCAGCCCAATTATTTTTAAATGCTGATTGATAGATGCTTCTGATTGAAGCATTTTTATGTTTGGTATATTTTGCTTTATTAATGAATCCTGTTTTTTAGGGGAAATTTTTCCTAGAAGACCCCACAGGAGTGGTCCAGCTGGACCTTAGTAAAGCAATATCCTTTTGCTGTGATGGAAGAGCTGGAGGAATTTCCTGTAAACCTGCAGGATTTTCAATTGAACAGTAAATCAATGCTGACCATTAAAAATTACATATTGAGAGCTGCAGCTCTGTCTTTCTCCTTCGTTTCCAATTCCTTGGCTGCTGCAGCTCCTGCCTTTCTCTTTCACTTTTCCTCCCCATGGAAGCAGAGCCTGTTCCAGTTCCTGGGCTCTCTCTGGACTTACCTGCTCAGGTAGCAGGGAATTTCCAGGCTCTTCAGGCAGCCTGTGAACTTTCAGTGCTGTCCAGATCTATTACACCAGCTGGAAAGCAAATTTTAGTTAAAAAACCTACTTTAAATCTAAGAAAAATACATTCCTTAACCTTCCTGCACCAGTTCCACAGTGGGTTATACACTGAATCCTGCTTTGTTCTGGCAGAAGGTAATGCAGACTGGGTTTATATTTTAGCTTGTAATAAACTATTCTGTTAAAGCTGTGGCTGATCAGAGAAGTCTCGTTTTGGTGACCATCAGTGACTGAGATTTTTGGCCTTCAGTTTTTTCTGGGACCTGGTGGACTCTGGAGGCAGAAAGGAGGAATTTGTGGGTGTTGGGGGATGTGAGGGTCCGGAGCAGCTTGGAGGGTTGGCCCCAGCATGCTTGGAGAAGTTATGGCTGGATTAGGAAGACAGCCTAGAATAACCAAGGGAATGATTTAACAATCTGAAAATGCTGCTTTGTGCTGGCAACGCTTTGGTCCTTTAATGAGGCTTCTCATTAGGATGATGTAAGGGCTTGCAGTTTTGGAGCCTTGTTTTAGCAAAAAAAAAAAAAAAAAGAAAGCTATTTCTGTATGTGGAACGTTCCTCTGTGCAAGATCCATGATCTCAGTCTTTTTTCTAGCGTGTTTTAAGTTTGTAAGTAGAAGTTGGGAGCAGAAATGAGAGTGGGGATAAATAAATATCCCTCCTGCTCCTTCTGCTCTCAACAGTGGGATTTGAGACAAGGAGCAGTTGGATGGGGTTGCCTTTCCAGGACAGGGCCAGCAAAATGATTCCTGTTCCCCTGCATTGCTCCTCCTTGGCTTGAGGGGGTTGTTCATGTGGCTGTGCAGAAAATCCATTCACAGATGTGGCTGGGGTTTAAAAAAAAACCTTGATTTCTTGCTCAGCCCTTTTTCCACCCGGATCATTCCGTGCTCCGGTTCTGTGGAGCTGCCACAAGAGAGGGATTGATGGAGGCTGGGACTGGCAGTGTAGCACTGCTGCCAACTCTCTGACTAATGTCTAGGACATGATGCTGTTAGAAAAACTGAAGTTATTTTGCTGTTCCAAAACCTCCTAGGTTGGTATGAAGATAAAGTTTTTCATGTGAACGCTTTTGGATTTCCGCCCACTGAGCCTTCTGCTACCACGAGGTACAAAAGTGACTCTTGGCAGCCTCACTCCATGTTTTCCTATGGGTTTCTAAGTAAGATCATTGTTATTTTGTAATTTTTCTGACATTCAAGTATGTTATTTTTCCTCCTCTCCAAATGCTTTAAAATAAATATCATTTTAAGGAAGCAGTTCTGGGACTTACAGGCACTAAAGTCTGTAGTGTTGGCAGAAAAAACCCTTCCAAAGGCCTTTGGGTGCTGCATATTAATGGAAATTGGGATGTAAATCCTTCTCAATTGCAAAGCCAGGTAACAGTTACATGGGAATAATAAATTCCTTGTTGCTGGGAGAATGGATCCCTGGGAGAGTGGATGTTGTTGCTGCCCATGGCAGGGGCTGAAATGGGATGATCTTTAAGGTCCCTTCCAATAAATTATTGGACAGGTTTTAATTTTAATGAAATTGAAATTAATTTTAATTTTTAATTTAATTAATTTTAATTTTTAATTAATCCCAAGCCATTCTGGGATCCTAACTGGAGCATTTTAATGATGCAGAGCCTTCTATGGGAATATAAACTTCTTTGGAGGGCCTTCCTCATCGTCAGTGAAGGCTTCTGCAAAGCTGAAGCAGCTGGAGGAGGAGAATGAAGATGCCATGTTTGTGTTTGTGTCTGATGTGTGGCTGGACCAAGCAGAAGTGCTGGAAAAGCTTCACACAATGTTTTCGGGTAGGTGAGAATTGCTTTCACTCTAAACTTTGTTTTTATAATGTGTTTCCATCAATTCTTTGTACAAGTAGTGTTTTGAGCAGTAGCCATTTTCTGGGCTGGGACAGGAATGTTTTCTTTGCCTCCTGAAAGTTCTTCCTGGGTTTATCTTAAAGACAACTCCTTACTTCAGAGAGATGAATGTTGCTTCCCAGAGGGAAGGGCTAGGTGGGATATTGGGAAGGAATTCCTGGCTGGGAAGATGGGGAGGCCTGGGAATAGAATTCCCAGAGAAGTGGTGGCTGCTCCTGGATCCCTGGGAGTGTCCAAGGCCAGGCTGGACAGGGTTTGGAGCAGCCTGGGACAGTGGGAGGTGTCCCTGCCATGGCAGTTGGAATGGGATGATCTCTAATGCCCCAACCCAACCCATTCCAGGATTCTGGGATCAGTAACGTGGACAACACAGGGCAAAACAAGCACTTATGAATTGCTCCTTTGTATTGCAGCAGTTTTGGAACAGCTTGTCCCTCGTGCCTCAGGCAGAATGGAAGTGTGAGAGAGCAACTGGTTTAAAAACAACACCGAATTCAGGGTGGGAAACTGCTCCTCAGCAAAAGGGAACTGGACACAAATTAGCAGGGTCATGCAGAAGTTACAAAACCAGTTCAGTATCTGGGTCAGAGCTGGCAAATCTTTGGGACAGACTGGGCTTGACCCAGGATTGGAAGTGCTGAGGGCAAAAAGGGACTTTGGTCAGTGAAATTCGTGTGCTGGACCCACCAGGCAGAGATGCAGACCTTGCATTTACTATTTTGAGACTTTAATAGGCAAGCGATAACCTTCTTAATTATAAACGAAATGAGCAGCTGAGGGGGAGAGCACGGAAAAATATTGATGAGCCATTTCTCTGGGATAAGCAATTCTGTTCTATTTACCAGCCCCTTTGAAAACCAGTGAAGTAAATCCAAGTGTGTCAGGAAAATGGAGAGTAACTGGGATGTGAGATGAATGCCTGAGTAGCTGTTTCTATTTTTATTTCAGGGATGGGAATCAGGTTTCTTTTTTCCCCCCCTTGTGATGGGTGAGGTTGTGAGCTCTCATCAGATCCTCCGACTGCTCAGGCAATTCCAGCTACTGTTGCTTTATAATGCCAAAGGGGGAATTGGATGTTGGGAGAGCCCTTAAATTGGAATGATCATGGAGGTTAATAGCAATCCAGTGCTGCCTGCTTGCTGTTTTCCTCTTGAAGGCAGTAATACATTTTAAAATGGCATTATTTATTATAATTGAACGCTGTAGAATCCTCTGACTGGGTCAGCAGTTGCATACACACAAACAGTGCTGGAACTCAGCCTGTAAATGCCAGAGGGCTCCCTCAAAGTGACATTTGTACGTTGCCACCACCTTTTGGAGCTAAAAGCAGATCAAAAAAAATCACTCAGGTGTATTAATAGCAGCAGAGCTTGAAGTGCTGTTTCAGTTCCTGCTTTTCCTGGAATGGGCTGAGTGCTGGAAGATGCTGCAGTGAATGGATACACTCACAGATCCTCTCTTTTCCCAGGTTATTCCTCTGCACCTCCCACCTGCTTTTTCTTCTGTGGAAATTTTTCATCTGCACCATATGGCAAAAATCAAATCCAGTCCCTGAAAGGTAGGGAAGTCTTTGTAAACAGCCAGACGTGTGCACTGAATTAAAATAACGATGGCAAACAAATGAAGAGAGCAGAAAACAAACCCTTATTTTTTCATTGCACTGCAGCAGAGGTGGGATTTCACCCAAGGTGTGTTGGTTTCTAACCAGGTGTCGTGTCCTGTTTTTCCCAGGTTCTTTGAAAGCTCTGGCAGATATTATATGTGAATATCCCAGCATCCATAAAAGGTACAGAGCAAGGGAAAAATCTGTTTATTTTGTGAAGCTTTTAATTACTTGAAGAAGCTGAGAGTTACCCTATTTTCTCTGTCTTGTGAGCCAGCTGTGATCAGATAAAAAGCTGGTTTTGTAACAGGCCTGCAGGTTTGTTTGGGAGCAGGATAAGTCTGATTTTATCTAAAATAACTTGGGCATGGAAACTGCTAATGAGGGAGCCAAGGTCTCTCCCTGGGATACTTTCCTGGCTCCTGCTCTCTGAATTCAGAACATCAGACCTAGTTTTTAGGATCAGTTTATACAAAAGAGATTTGTTGAACTTTATTTTTTATTTTTTATTTTTTGCAGTAGTCGATTTGTGTTTGTCCCTGGTCCTGAAGATCCTGGGCCTGGATCTATTTTACCAAGGTCAGTTTGCTTCATTTCCTCAAGTCTTGGAATTTTGAGTGAAATTTGAGTTAAAGATGGTAAGAGTCTTTGTTGATACCTCTGCTATTTATTTCAGACCCCCTTTGGCTGAAAATATCACTCAGGAATTCAGACAGCTGGTGCCATTTTCAGTTTTCACCACAAATCCCTGCAGGTAACCATGTAACTGCTAATTTATTTATATTTTTTTAAATATTTTTTAAACACTAAATTATGTGCATTAATATCATTTTCAAAACCAGAAATATTACAGATTTTTGGGAAAACTTACTTTACATTTTTCAAATCAATAGAATTCTTCAGTTGCATGAATTGTAACTAGTTTTAAATACATTAAGACAGAAAAAAATCAGTGAAGAAATGAAGTAGTGCTAAAAAAATCGATATTGAATATAAAATCTCTGCTCCAAAGCATCTTGCTTTTTTCTGAATCAGAAGGGAAAGTATTATCTTCATTCCATTGTCTGTATTAGAGGGAGATCAACTTCATAATGCATCATTTTTAGGTTAACCTGAATTAATTTCAGTGCTGTTTTCCACTCAGGATTCAATACTGCACCCAAGAAATCATTATTTTTCGGGAAGATTTGGTCAACAAAATGTGCAGGAATTGTGTCCGCTTCCCAAGCAGCAACATGGACATTCCCAACCATGTGAGTGAGTCGAGTCCAGCACTTTTTGCCAAGATTTTTGATTTTATTGATCAGCAGGGCTGGATTTTGGGGGCTCTGATCCTCATTCTCGTGACACATTGCACGAGTAACCCAGAGGGGTTGTAAGAAGGATTTATACATTCACTGTTGTTACTTTTCTTTACATTTTGACAGCAAAATAAACCATGATAGTTGAAGGTGGGATTGATTCTGTCACACTGCAGCTGCTCTTGAACACAGAATTTCAGAGCAGCCAGCTGTGTGCGCACCAACCATCGATGTCCTGCCAAGAAACACCGATTCCTAAAGGCAAATTTGAATGCAAATTCCCATTTTTGAAAGATTTGATGGGTTACCCAGTGCCATTTGCAGTAAAGCAGCAGGTCCCTTTCTCGAAAATTCATCTGCTTGTTTTGTCTCTTCTCTTGAAATTGAAATTCTGCTTCTTTCACATCAGCACAGTGCTCTGGGTTCTGGTTCCACTTAATGAATCCACAGCAGGAGCTGATGGGATTTACTGATTTAATTGGATGAGAATGATCCAGGTAGTCCTGGCTGGTTGCAGTGATGGATGGAGTCTGGTTTTATTTATTTTACAGGAGGTTTTTTGTTTGCTTGCCTCAGAAAGTTGTTTTAGCTCAGTGTCTCTGTGAACACCCCATGAGGTACCTCGGTTTTGTGGGCACATTTGCATTCCTGACACTTCCCTGTCCTCATCCAGGGCTTTCTAGAAAGGAATCATGAAAGAAATGTACAATTGCAGCACTTTTTGCAGGTTGTTTTTTGCATACTCCACCCTTCCTCTGCCTTTTTTGCCTATTTTAATTCAGCCATTAGTGTAAAAAAATAGAGGGAAATTTTGTCACTAGGAGAGGAAAATCATCTGGGAATCAAATAATTCCTTCAGTTCTGGGAAAAAAACTTTTTAAGTGTGGCTCTCGTGGTTAACTGGAAAGCAATAAGGAAAATAAAAACCAAAAAATGAAGAGTTGTGGCAGTGTTGGTACATTCTGGGCTGGAGGAACAGGTAAATAGATTCTCCTGGAGAGTCTGATCAGAGAATTTTGACATCTTCAAATACTGGCTGATGTGCTTTAAAAAGGCTTTTGTGTATTAAAATCCTCACAATTCAAGAAAGGAAAGAGCAGCTCAGTGCTGGAGGAGAGTCACTGCTTTACTCTAGAAATCATTAATAAACAGAAGGAATGAGATACAAAAAAAAACCCAAACATTTCCAGATTCCAAAAGCTTCTTTATTGTTATTATTACAAACACACTTCATTAAGCACGTGCAGAGACGAACTGAGCTTGCAGCAAATGTTTCAAACCAAGTGTTTGTGGGGTTTTATTTTTTTTACAGTCTGTAAAGACCATTTTATCCCAGGGGATAAATGCTTCAAATGTTTCAAACCAAGTGTTTGTGGGGTTTTATTTTATTTTATTTTTTTTGCAGTTTGTAAAGACCATTTTATCCCAGGGGATAAATGCTTCAAATGTTTCAAACCAACTGTTTGTGGGGTTTTATTTTTTTTTTACAGTTTGTAAATGCTTTAACTGTTTCAAACCAAGTGTTTGTGGGGTTATATTTTTTTTTTTTTTTGCAGTTTGTAAAGACCATTTTATCCCAGGGACACCTGAGCCCGCTGCCACTGAACGTCAGCCCCGTGTTCTGGGCCTACGATTACTCCCTGAGGGTTTATCCCGTGCCAGACCTGCTCGTCACCGCTGACAAACACGACCCCTTCACTGTCACCAACAGTGACTGCCTCTGCATCAACCCTGTGAGACCCCCTGAGCACTCAATTCCCAGCTCCCTCACTCCCTGCACTGCATTTTCCTCACACAAATGTGATTTTTTTTTTCCCCTTTTCCTTCACAGGGTTCATTTCCCAGAAGTGGATTTTCCTTCAAGGTGTTCTACCCCTCCAACAAGACAGTTGAAGACAGGTAAATAGATTTTTCTGACGTGCTGAGTTTCTGATTATCAGGCTAAAAATCACAGCAAATTGGGAATATTTGAATATTCCAGCAGCTTGACTTAGAGTTCATACTTAGGCATTGTAACAAATGCAAATGCCCAGAACTAAAGCAATAAATTTAGTTTCTGATTATCAGGCTAAAAATCACAGCAAATTGGAAATACTTGACTATTCCAGCAGCTTTACTTACACTTCATACTTAGGCAGTGTAACAAATCCAAATGCCCAGAACTAAAGCAATAAATTTAGAAATTACAATTATCAATGATGGGAAGCACAATCCAAAAGTAAAAGGGGAGATGACTGGACTGCCTGATTTTCAATGATACAGATCTAATTGGGAAGCAGATTTGGGGTTGATGATTACATAAATTAATTAAATTTAGGAACAATTTTTGCTTCATTTTGTGATAATCATCAAGCCCAGAAACCACTTTCAGGCTTTGATGTCACATATTTTTATATCTGCACTTGTTCATTCCACCAACTGGAAAAAAGCCAGCTACAACACCAAAAAAGTATTAAAATGTTTAAAATAATGATGGTATAGAACCTATTAGGAAAAGCATAAATTTATCTTCTCCTTGTTGGAAAGGCCTTCCCAGGGAATTAATAATAGGTCAGCCCATTTAACTTCTACTTGACTATAAAAAATATCACACCATGAGATACTTTAGGTCTTTAAATAGTTGAAAACATTATCAAGTCTTTCCTAGATAAAGAAATAGAATAGCATTGTGAACTCTTTTTAAAAGAAACCTTCTAAGTACTGTTTTTCTTCTTTTCTACTGTATTTTCAGCAAGCTTCAAGGACTCTGAATTTTTGTGGCACTGAAAAAAGGCAGTGAACCCATGTGAAGCTAACAGTAGCTCTTATTTTTTACGTGCCTTAGTTTCATGATGTATTGTGGACTTTTTATAATAAATGTCCAAGTCAAAACCGAATTGTTTTGTACAGAAATAAACTTTTACAGGAAAAGACACTGGTGTCAGTTAAGTTGTAAAGTCAGAATGAAAAATAATTGGCAAGACATAAAAAAGTTAAGTGGATGAACCAGCTGCATCAGAACAGGAAATGAGCATCTTTAAAAAAAAAAGGAATTAAAGTTAAGGAGAACTTGCATTGCTAGTTATCAGAGAGGGAGTCTGGAAATGGGGGAAGGATTTTTCTTTTTCTTTGGGAAATGCCCAGGAAAGATCTGAGAGGTGTTTTATAATGGCAGCACCTATTTGAAGATGGTGTTATGCAGACAGGACAGGGAGTGCTAAAAGCAAGGACATGATCCTTTAGAACTTCTGGAGAAGGCTGGCAGGAGGAAATCTTGATGGAGGGAAGTGGGAAAGAGCAAAACTCAGCCAACCCCTGCTCCAGGTGCTTGTGGGCATGGAGAGCAGAGTGGGGCTGCCCCAAGTGCCCAGGCCAGGTGTGCCACAGTGGGGAACCTCTGTGTCACAGCCCGCTGGGCTGCCATGGCCCAGGGCAGGAACAGGAGCGACAGTGGGACACGGGCTGAGGGGACACAGGCTCTGAGGGGGCACGGGTTCTGAGGGGACAGCAGGGCCGGGATGGAACCTGGGTCCCATACGAGACTGGACTGCTGATTTAAAAATGCTCTGTGAGGGGATGACCCTGGAGCTCAGAGCTCTGGGATAGGGATAGAACATAAACTTTGATGACGGTGCTAAACCAGCCCTGCTGATGCCAGGGGTGATGTCCGGAAACCACTGAAGGGAGGGATGGAGAGGCCTCGGCCCTGAGGGACAGCCCGCCATGTTGTTTGCCGTCTCTATAGTAACCGGCGCGCCGGCGCCGCCATCTTGTTTACCGTCACCATAGCAACGCCCGCCATCTTGTTCGGCGTCCCCACAGCGGCGCTCCGGGCCGTGCCGGGGCCATGGCGGGCGCGGGGCGGCTTCAGGACCTGGATCTCAGCGCCGAGGAGGCCGAGCGGCTCCAGCGCGCTTTCCGCGACGAGAGGTTCCGCGCGCTGTTCGCAGAGTACGCGGCCGAGCTGACCGACCCCGAGCAGCGCCGGCTGTATGAGGAGGAAGTGGCGGCGCTGGAGCGGGAGCGCGGCGTTGAGGTGCGCTTCGTGCACCCCACGCCGGGCTTCGTGCTGCGGACGAGCCAGGAGGGCTCCCGCCGCTGCTACATCAATGTCTGCAGCAACGCGCTGATGGGGGAGCCGCGGGCCCGCGCCGAGCGCGGCGGGCAGCGCTGGGAGCTGCCCTACAGCATGGCCCCGGGCCGCGAAGAGCTGCGCCCCGCCGGCCGCCGCCGCCTCCTGTACGACGTGGTGTTCCACCCTGCCGCGCTGCGGCTGGCCGCCCGCAGCGCCCGCTTCCGCCGCCTGCTCTGCGACACGGCGCTGGAGGCCGTGGAGAGCCGCTGCGGGGTGCGGCTGGACCGCAACAACGCCACCGTCCTGCGAGGAGTCTCCTACAAAGGCGTCCCACAGGCGCCCGTCATCCGCTCCCCGCTGTCCGGCGGCGCCCCAAAGCCGCCCGAGGACGGGGAGTTCCCGCTGCCGCCCTTCCCCTTCCCTCCCGCCGCCGCCCCAAAGCCGCCCGCCGCCGGAGGCTCCTCGCCCGCCGCGCCCCCGCCGCCCTCCGGCCCCACCACGCCGCGCTGGAGCATCCGCCACCGCTCCTACGTGGACCTGCAGGACTACCGGCACAGCCGCGACTCTGCGCCCAGCCCGGTGCCGCGGGAGCTGGTGGTGACAGTGGAGCTGCCGCTGCTGCGCTCCGCCGAGCAGGCGGAGCTGGAGATCCGCGGGCGGGAGCTGCGGCTGGACTCGCGGTGTCCCGCCTACCGCCTGCGGCTCCCCCTCCCGTACGACGTGGACGAGAGCGGCGGGCGGGCCACCTTCAACAGGGCCCAGCGGCAGCTGCAGGTCACGCTGCCCGTGGTGCCGCCGCCGGGCCCGCGGGAGCGGCGGGAGGAGGCCGGGCCCGCAGCCGAGGAGCCGGCGGAGGCAGGGCCGGCAGAGGCGGGCGGCGGAGCGGCTCCTCCTCCGGAACTCGGCCCTGGCGGCGCGGTCCGGAGCACGTGTGGCGGCGGGGAGGCCGGTGATCCACTCGCCAAACCCCCGACTGAGGCACTTTGTGATCCGTCTGCCCATTCCCTTGCTGAACTGCCCGTAGAACCACTCTGTGACCCGCTCGCTGATCCCGCCGAACCCCTCACTGAACCCCCCCTGGATCCAACCTCTGAACCCTTTGCTGATTCCCCCGCTGAACTCCCCGCTGAACCTGCCACTGATCCAAGCTCTGAACCCCCTGCTGCTCCAACCACTGACCCCCCCTCTGAACCCTCCGCTGATCCACCCGCAGAACCACCCAGCGAGCCCCCGGACCCGCCACCGCCCTGCTCCGGTGCCGCTTCCCCCATGGGCAGCCCCGAGCCGGCCATGCCCACGGGGGACACCCCTCCGCAGGCCTCCGAGGAGACGGCCAAGTGCCCTCCTTTCCGTGCCCGGCAGGACGAGGCGTCCCTCACCCTGCTGCTGCTGGTGCCCGGCATCCAGCCCCAGAGCCTCCACGGCGATGTGGGCACGCACCATTACAGCCTCCGCTTCTGCAGCGACACCGCTGCCTTCGCCCTCTTCCTGCGCTTCCCTCCCGCAGCCGCGCTGCTGAGCCCCGAGAGCAGCGTCAGCTTCTCTGCCCACAACGCCGTGGTGCGGCTCGCCAAGGCCCCCGGCAGCACCGGCCTCTGGGACAAGTTCAGCTTCGGCCTCGACCCCTCCGCTCTGCAGGTAACAGTGGCACCTTTGGGGTGTCACTTGCCCGAGGTGTGGCTGCTGCTCGGTGAGTGGTGTCTCAGGGAGGTGTCAGGGGCAGCTGGAAGTTGCTGCTTCCTCCGAGAGCTGCTCCAGGATGTCAGTGCGGTGCCCTGATTTGTGCGAGTCTCGTACGAGCAGCGCCATGGAGCTGACCCCTTCATCCTTGGAATTGGAATGACTTCTGCCTCCCATACAAATATTTTTCTAAGGGAAATTCTGGTGATGGATGAAAACGGTGCCTATGTCCTCTATGTCCTTAGTGTTCACTTTTAAAGCTCTGTAAGTTGCTCGTGCAGCCTGTTCACACAAAGAACGAGGTTTATGATACACCAGGCTTACACCCTCAAAAAGTGTATGGACAGTGTCCCTGTGTCTGTGTTTTGGGACAGAATTCCCATTTACAGCCACAGGAACACCCATTAGTTCAACCAGAGCAGAACAGCAAGCAGCAGCTGTGAACTGCCCCAGTTTTCTGGGTTAAATCTTCACCTGCTCTGTCTGAATATGATTCTAATTTAGGATTTTCTGATTTTATGGGTTGTTGGGTAGTGATGCTCCTGTGGTGGGAGAAAGTGGGGTGGCTGCATCCAGTGTCCCCAGAGGGCTGCCCGCCTTGTGACACTGTCCAGAACCACTCACACGAGTTTCGTGGGGAACCACGTTCCTCTGCGAGCTCAGACTTCCACACAGCTCCTCATGAGCAGGGATTAAAGCTGCACAGCTCTTGTGTAACCTTCCAGCCATGGGATTTGGAGTTTGGCTGGAGATGAGAGCAATAAAATCCTCTGCAGTTTGGATCACGTGCATTGGGAGTGCAAGTCCAGGAAGCTGGCAGGCTTCAAGCGTATCCACTGGGATAGACTTGGCTTGGAGCAGCTTAATTGCTCCATCCCTACAACTAGAAGTGACTTGTGGATGATTTTGAAAGGTATTTATCCAATTTGTGTTTGTGCAGCTGAAACCACGTTGAATTTCCCATTTAGCAGCCGCACACCTTTTACAACAGCAATTCCTGTGAAGGAGGAGCTGATTATTTCGGGGAAGTATCAAAGATGATGAATTTATGGAGAACCACCCACGCTGAGCTGTTTGCAGAGCATTTCCTTTGCTTTTACCGGAGCGGGAGCCTGCAAGTCTGTGCAAGTGGGGCCACAGAACACTCAGTGCTGCTGTTCACTGCTGGCATCTGGCACTGCCTGCTGCTGCCACGTCAAAAAAGCCACTGTGTAAACTCCTGCCTGGTTTCTGTGCAGGTACAGAGGCTGCCCAGGGCACTGGTGGAGCCAGTGAGATTTCCATCCTTGGAAAGGCTCAGAAAACCTGTGGATGTGGCACTTGAGAACGTGGTTTAGTGGTGAACGTGCTGGTGGTGCTGGGTTGGTGGCTGCACTAACAGAAGTTTGGTATATATGGATTTGTTATTGCAATTGGAGGAACATTTTGTGATTGAAAGTTGTTAAAAGACTACCCAGTAATGAGATTTTTGGCTTTGTGATTTATAAAAAAAAAAACTTGAATGTGCTGATTTTATTATATATTGCAAAATGTTTTGGGTGGAGTAGAAGAAAGAGATTGGGCATTAGTCATCAGCTTCCCAGCCATTCATTCACAACAGACTCCAAGAGGTTCTCCTGGCCTGCAGTCCTTTTGGACACTGAGCCTGCAAATTGAAGCAGGAGAAATAAACTGAAGTCATTCGTCCTGTTTGCTTTCCTTTTAATCTGTGCTATTTCCCCAAAGTGCCTGAGAGCTGCACTCGCTCAGACTGAAGGGAGAAAAATGAATATTTAATTAGAGCCAGTATGAGATGCTGCCTTCTGGCCATTAACCATTTGTTCCTGGTCGCTTTTCTTCTGCTTATGTTGATTTCTTCAATTTGTCTGATGCCACCTTGGGGGTTTTTCTGCCTTGAGTCTCATTCCATAAATCAGAGCTGTGGTTGTTGCACTGAGACCCGTAACGAGTCACATCAGTCACTGCAGAGTGCAGAGCCCTGTAAATAAATGCCTTTGGGGAGTTTTTGGGGTTGAGGCAAGCAGGAATTTTGTCCTGGAGCAGGAATTTTATGCTGCACCTCCCAGTCTGCTTGTTGGTCATCTCTTCTCCCACAGCAGCGTTGCCAGAGGATGGTGCCTGGCAGAAGTGAATCATGGAATGTTTGGGTTGGAAGGGATCCTAAACTTCAACCAATTCCACCCCTGCCACGAGCAGGGACACCTTCCACTATCCCAGATTGCTCCAAGCCCTGCCCAACCTGGTGAATGTTTTTAACAGCTATGGAATTCCTGCTCTGCTCTATTCTGGGAAGTTGCTTCCTGCTGGAGGCCGAGGGTTGTGTTCCATGTGTTGTTTCATGGAACAGATTCCAGAGCCTGCCTGCCCAAATCATTCCCATTGAATGTTCCTTCTTGGAAGTTGGTCTGATCCACGTACTGGTAGAAGAATGAGTTGAGCTCATCCTTAGGTCACCGTGCTTGAAACAGAACTTCAAGAGCTGCTTTTCCTTTTGTTGTCAGCTGTGGCTGAATCCCTGTGCTGGAAGATGATCTATTTAGAGCTCAGTTTCCATAGATGCTGAGCAGTTGGAATTCCCACCCCAACAAGTGCCTCTTTTCAGGAAATCTTTACAGTGCCCTGCTCTTCCCTGGACTTCAACTGTGAGGAGTTTCGCTCCTTGGCCAAAGCAGAATGTCCACACTGCAGTTGGACTCGATGATCTTGGAGGTCTTTTCCATCCTCTTGATTCTATGGCTTGTTATGGTGACCAGAGATCCTATAAAAATAAAGATTCTGTAAGTTTGGTCATTGTGGGCTTAGGGTCACATATTTCAGGTGTTTAAAAGCCACCTTTTGTCGCTGCTCTGGTGCTCAGTCACTGCACCAGAGACCACAGTGCTGACCTTGCTCCAGGCCCTGTTTTTCCAGGGAATAATCTCATGACCTGAGGAAGCTGCCTGATTTCCCCACTGTCAAAATCTCTGCCCTTTGTCTCGAAATACCAGCCAAGGGCTTTGCTCTCTCCATTACTCTTCATTGCAGTTCACCCTCTGGAATCTTCCACACCTTTTGCTTAAATCCTGGGAATTCAGGCCTGGGAAACTCCTGCATCAGAGGGTTCCCCTTCATTTGCAGACAACACAGCCTGGGGAGTAAATGATGAAGGAAGAATGGTTGGGAGTTAAATAACCATTAATAAAATCTGTAAGCCTGCCAGGCAGGGTTTCTGAGAACGTGTCCCGGTGTGTCCTGGTTTATGGTAGTGCTGGAGCTGAGCAATTATGGAAATTGTGCCTTTGGAAAGCACTTGGAATGTCTTGGAATGTTTGGCCTCCTGGGGTTAAATGCTCGATTGGTAACAGAAATAAAAAGCAGTTTTCTGGGGGTGTACTGAGCTGCTGAGACTTGGGGGTCTCAGTTCTAGGAGTATGTGAAACCCATTTGGCAGGTAATTAATTCTGCCAGCAGTTTTGGGGTCGTGTCTGCTCCTTTTCATGGGATTAGAAAAAGACTGCTTCGTGCAGGAATTCCCTTTTGGGCTGATCCACCCTTCCTGCCCTTCTCAGAGGCCTGGAATGGGTTTGTTCAGAGGATGTGTGCTCAGTCCTCTGGTCAGTTCCCCCTGGGCTCCCCTCGCTGGGCAGGGAACTGCAGCCAGCCCATCCCTTTCCTAAAAGATCCCCTCAGATCTTAGGGAGAAAGAATATCAGGATTTAACTCACGTAAACCCCCACGGGGCTCCAGAGAACAGCAGGGAGCAGAGGAAAACAGAGGAAATATTTCCTCTGCTTTCCTATGCATTGCTTTTTTAACATTTACAGGCTGAAAAAGATTATACTGAACATTCCTGAGGAGTTCATGCTTGGAGCTGAGGCTGAGTTACGCTGTGTGAGGGATGCAAATGGGAATTTCTCAGAGATAGGGAAGTTTTGTTTAATTTTCCTGGGAGTGTTGAGGCCTCATTGCAGGATGTTCTACATGGAATTGATTTTTCTGCTTGGCACAGCCACCAGTGCCTTGTGAAGGAGATCCTTTGGAAACTTTTGTTGCTTTTTCCTTCAGAAAGCAGCTGGTAAAAAAACATGTGGAGCTGTTGGAGCAGATCCAGAGAGGCCATGGAGCTGCTGCAAGGGCTGGAGCCCCTCTGGAGCCAGCCTGGGAGAGCTGGGAATGCTCACCTGGAGAGGAGAAGGATCCAGGGAGAGCTCAGAGAGAGCTCTCAGGGGCTCCAGGAGAGCTGGAGAGGGACTGGGGACAAGGGATGGAGGGACAGGAGACAGGGAATGGCTCCCAGTGCCAGAGGGCAGGGATGGATGGGAGATTGGGAATTGGGAATTGCTGGCTGGGCTGGAATTGCCAGATTTGCTGTGGCTGTCCCTGGATCCCTGGCAGTGCCCAAGGCCAGGCTGGACACTGGGGCTGGAGCAGCCTGGGATAGTGGAAGTGTCCCTGCCATGGCAGGGCTGGGATGGGTGGGATTTAAGGTCCCTTCCGATCCAAACCATTGTGGGATTCTGGGATGATTAAGTGCCCCCTAGAAGAGGCTGGGATAAGGTGATCTGGGCTGATCCAACCTGGCCTTGGACACTCACAGAGATCCAGGGGTAGCCACAGCTTCCCTGAGCACCCTCTGCCAGCCCCTCCCCACCCTCAGAGCCAGGAATTCCTTCCCAATATCCCATCTAAATTTCCCACATCCCTTGTGTAGAGCTGCAGGTGGCAGAGTTCTGTTGCTCCTGGCACTGGGACCGTGTGGAAAAGGCCAAGGGCTGGAAGTGCCCCCGTGGGCTGTGCTGGGCTGGCTGAGCTCAGAATTAGGGCTCTGGTGGATAAATGTTTTCCTTGGTTGGAGAATCAACCAAGCATGAAACCTTGAGAGCCGTGTTGGGAAGTGTAAGACATAGATGTTTTAAACCTTTGCTGCCTTTTGTGGAGAAATCCTTCCCAGACAGCTGTTTTGCCCTCATTTCCAAGCTGTTTGGAGTTGTTGCACAGTTTCTTTGGAAGTCAGAGTTCTAATTTTCAATTTCCAAGCTACTATACAGACTTATTGTAATAGTCAGGGGTTACTTCTAAGAAGATGCTGCTGGAAACTGGGGCTGTTGAATGTAATTGTACAACAGTTTATTTTCGGTTCAGTTAATTCTGTGCTCAGCATTTCAAGACTTGGCAAGTTTTTTGGGAGGTCAGAGAAGGACAAAGAAGGAGAACACAACAAACTTATTATTTCAGATTTTTCAAAGTAATCTCTTCCCCAAGCTACATTAAGGATCATAATTAGTTTGCTTCTGCTATAAAACAAACTAATTTCTGAATAGTCTTTAATTGGTAGCTGCATTTTGGGAATAACGTGACTACACAAAACAGTTATGTCAGGAAACATTATTAACCTACTGATGAAGCTCATCAAAGCTTCCTTGGAGCTGTTTCATCTTTGCAGTCATGAGCACCTTGGAAAAGTTTTCATTTCACTACAGGTACCAAAACTTTGAGTTTCAAATTCTCAGGTCTCAGAGCTGGTTTGTGCTGGGACCCCACAAATGCAGAGGTCAGGAAATCCAGGTCCTTTTTCATATTGGCATGAATTGTTGTGTTTTGACGAGAGAGGTTGTGGCTGCTCCATCCCTGGAGTTGTCCAAGGGCAGTTTGGATGGGATTTGGAGCAGCCTGGGATAGTGGAACCCATGGCAGGCTTGGAACTGGATAGGATTTAAATCCCCTCCCAACCCAAACCATTCTGAGATTCCCTGATCCTCTCATTACAGGAACCACAAAAATAATTTAAGCCTGAAATCTGTCCTGCTTTTCAAACTCACAGCCTGCGTGGGAGGTAACTCTGGATGGAAACTGTCTTCAATTTGGATAAATTAAAGCAGAATAAACCCATCTGAGTGCTGAGGGCAGCCGTGAGGGGACCGGCTCTGCGCCGTCGGTGCTGTGAGACACAAGGATGGGTTTGAATGATGAAGTGCTCTAGAAACCAAAGTCATCCCTGCTAAGGTTTATGTTAATTTGGTCTCAGTTTAGTCACAGGGAAAAATGAGTGTGTACCAAACAGCAGATGACAGTGTGTACAGGGAAAAACAAATTAAATTCGAAGTTGCTAAGAGAACATCATAAATACCAGAAAATAAACGGCTTAAATTGAAGAATTATTTTACAGGGTCATTGAAATCAGCTGCAGATGGTTGTCCTCTGTTTGCTCTGGCTTGGAAGGCAGAGCAGGCTTTAGAATAAATTCCTGAATCATTTTTTTCCAAGGTCTGTGCTCTGATAACATCTGCAGTAATATAAATGCCTTGGTGTGTGCTTCCCGTGAATGCAAAGTCTGAGTTACAGTGGCTGGTGGAACAGGCTAATGATAATCATTGACAACAAACACATCCCAGGTCCGTGATTTATGGCAGGCCACGGGGTAGGGATGGGGTAAAATGGTAAATATTTACAAAAATTCAGAGTTGGGCTGGGCTGAAACTTGGTAAAATTGGTTTGCAGTAATGAGTCAGAATTAACAGAGCAACATTACAAGTGGTTACTTTTTATCCTCATTTAAAGTACTGATTAATCATAGAATTATGGAATATCCTGAGCTGGAAGTGCCCACAGGGATCATCCAGGGCAGCTCCAGGCCCTGCACAGACACCACAACAATCCCAGCCTGGGCATCTCTGGGAGAAGTGTCCAAATGCTCCTGGAGCTCCGGAGCCTTGGGAATGTCACCATTCCCTGGGGAGCCTGGGCAGTGCTCTGGGGGAAGAACCTTTCCTGCTAATACCTCTTCCATTCAGTTTTAGTTTTTTAAACAATATTTTCTGCGAAGAAAACAAATTCTTTTGTTTTAAATTAGGATAAAATTCTCCAGAAAGGTTCAGCACGTTTGTTGCCAAACTGCTGAGTCCTGATTGCGCTGAGGAGAAGCGGGTGTCCCTCACACAGCCACAGGTGCCAGATGCAGATTCAGAGGAGAAAAAAGATTATTTTCCTCATTTTATGGAGAAAAAGAAGGATGGGACTTGGAACAACCTGGTCTAGTGGAAAGTAATGAAAGTTCCTGAAAATATCCCATGGCAGGGGGCTGGAATGAGATGAGCTGGAAGGTCCCTTCCAACCCAAACCATGATTCCCTGACTTGGATTTCAGCTGGGTCAGGAAGGCTGTGCTCTGGAAGTGCAGGCAGGGCACCAAAATCCCAAATCCCCTCCAGGAGAGGCTGAGCTGTCTGTCTGTGCTCTGTGGGCCAAACATTTCAGGGCAGAGCTGGGAATTCTCCTCCTGAGCCGCCCAAGGATCGGGTTCCGGAGCTTGTGGGAGTTTTGGTGCCGCACAGATTTTGTGTCTGCGGCCCCTGCCTCGTTCCTGTGCTCTGACACCTTCCCCTGAGCTCTGCAGAGTATTTCCACAGCCTAAAGCTCTGGCAGATCCCTCTCTGGCAGGCAGGAGAGGATGCAGCACAAGGGAATAAGAATTTTAGGCTTTGCATGTAGAAATGCAAGAAATAGGGATGTTCTGAGAGGGTTTTCAGTCAGGGCAGCTCTGCTGCACTTTAATCTCTCCCCAAACCATCCCAGCATCCAGTGCTGGCTCTTTGCCTGGATTGTAATCTTTCTGGATAGAAAATGAATCCAATCCTCTGCCTTGGAAAACCAACAGTATGACTGTTATGACTTTCCATATTGTGATTTCTAATTTAACTAGTGGAAAAAATAGGACTCTGGCTTATTTTTCCAATCCTGGTTTGTGGGGTTTTTTTTGGGTTTTTTTTGGGTTTTTTTTCAAGATGACAGTTAAATTTTGTACCTCAGACACAATGTGACATCTGGCTGTGCATAAGGCTCCATCCACAGGGGGCCAAAAATGTGCAGAATTGCCTTTTTGCTTCTCGGTCTGCAAGATGTCAGTGATAATTGAATATAACTTTCATTGGATTGACAAGAGGGTTGAACTGGACCGAGAAATTGAAAAGTGTGACTTAATGTGGAAGGTTTGCCACTTGTCCCTGTTATTTCCAATTAAATAAGGAAGGTAATTCCCAGAACCTAAACTACTCCTCTAGGTCATACTATTTTTATTGTGTCTGTCCTTAGCCTCAGCCTACACAGATGATGTAGGAATAACCCAAGGACAGGGAAAGCTCTGCAGGTCCTATGAAACAGCCCCTCCAGGATATATTTTAGGACCTTTAATTACCTGTAACTGATTTAAATCTCTAAACCTGTAGCAACACGTTTCAGGTTGTGTTTATGAACATCCTGGAAACACACCCCAGGCTGTGTCTCTGCCTGGGGATCCCTCTCCTTTTGTTTGGTTTTTTTTTCCCAACTGGTTTGGCTGCATGGAGATCAGAGCAGCCTCAGTGGCTGGGTGTGAAATGGATCCAGCCCTGAGTGTTCCAGATCTGATCTTGGAGTGAGGATCCTGCAGTGCCTCTCCAAGGAGGTGTTTGTGTTTTCCTAAAGACAGACAGGAGACAAACCCACCACAGTCTAACACCTTCCTGCTGTTAGGACAGGTGAGGATGGTGGAACCAGGTCAGTACAAATAATTTTTCAGAGAGAGTCTAAATCTCTGAATTCACCCATGGGTGAATATTCAGCCATCCAAAGAGAGAAATAGCATTTCCTTTATATTTGATACCATGCAGATTTGTACTTTGAAGCAAAATTAGCTAAGCACTGGTCTTAATTAATTTCACCTCGTTCTTTGAATGTCTGGCTTAGAATTTCTCTGTCAAGCCATGAGTGTGCTGTGAAACTTGGGAATCGCTGTCCTGGCTTTCTTTGCAGCGAGTTCTTGGCCCCAATACCCACAAAAAGAACATAACCTGCTGTTTTCTCTTTTTTTTTTTTTTAGGAAAGATTGTTTGTCAGTGAGGAGAACGTTGATGGATTTCTAGGCACTGCTTTCTGCCCTTCCCCTTGCTCCCAATCAGCACTGGAAAGGCAGCCATTAATTGAAGTGCTGGATGTTACTGAGGACAGAATTCAAATCAGGGTGGAGGTAAGGATCCAGGAGCAGCACAGGCTGATTTATGTTCTTCAGCAAGATCCTATCAAATCCCACTGGAACAGCTTTGTTCCTGTTTTGTCCTGAGGAAGCAGGGAAAACCCAGGACTGGGGTTATTTGCAAGTTAAATGTCAATTTTCAGAAGCAAAGCTTGTGTTTGTGCCATTTAATGTGACCAAAGATTGAAACCTCCTCTGTTTCATTTGGAAGATGCAGAACTGTGATCCAATAATTTAAAAAAGTGCTTTTTCCTTGCAGGAATAACTCATTCACTCAGCCTTGTACAGGTAGAGAAATCCTAGAGGGTTTTATCTGGGAAGAATCCTGCCTCATCTTTATTCAATCCATGTATTGGAATACTTGGTGGGTTCCTGTTGTGTAGATAATTAAACATGAGGCTATTAATCTTAAACACTGGTCTCAAATTCAATCCTTGTAGTTTCAGGCCTCATTCAGGTTCTTCTTCCTCTGTCTAGAGCAAGACAGGCTGTTTCTGGGATCTGCCACGGGATTAAAGTGTCCTCCTTTGGCAAAATAGATGGACAGATGAAGAAATCCAAATGTTCATTTTGTAAGGAGGAAAATGTGAGATAAAGCCCCCACGTTCACTGGGATTTCTTCATTCAAAATTCAGATGAAACTTTTCTGAAAAGAAACATAAAAAGCAGAAACAAGCAGGTCACTGCTGTGGCCATGAACTGGGGACTGCAGCTGGAGTTAATGTGTAGCTGTTTTTTAGGGAGGCAAGTTCAGATGAAACACATGACCTCTGGAACTGGGCTGGAGGCCCGAGGAGTTTCCCAAAGATAGCGGATCCAGCTTAACTTTTGCAGCTGCTGTGGGTTGGACATAAAAAAAATGAAATTCTGAGTGTTGGAGAGCAGATGAGTCTGGTTTGGGACCTAAGGGCAGCTGAGATACCTTAAATCATCACATTCCTGCTCCTCTGTGGGGCCAGGAGTTGGAGTTGGTGATTCTTGAGGGTCCCTTCTACCTCAGGGTATCCCATGATTGTGTTTTCCTTTGGGAAGGACTGACTGGTGTTTCTCGTGTTTCCTGCTGGGATGAGCAGTGGTTTGGGGGTGTGAGAAAGAGCCTGTGTCTCTGAATCCATGAATCCAGCTGCTCTTGGATAGATCCCTACCTCTCCTGACTCTCCACTGCCAGGGACCTATGAATTCCCAGCAGTTTTTTGCCAAAACACACAGTAACGGTGAAATTTGGGCAGTGCTATTTGGACAGCACCTCTCCCTTCCCGAGGCAAAGGGCAATCCCCGGATTAGCTCCGCAGTCATTCCCTAATTGCTTCCAACCTTGCACCAAGAGTTGAGATCCCCTGGCTGATTCTGTGGCTGCTGGAATTGGGAGATTTTGGGAATCAGGCTGGGTGTGCTGAGTGGCCGCTGCCCAGCGCTTTTCCTAGAGCAGAGAAATCCCTGGGAAGCAGAAGGACCTCCCTGGACATTCCCAGACAGGAGCAGGAAAACCTCAGCACCCGCTCACATGGCTTCTAGAAAGAGAATCATGGAATCACAACTCGATTTGGAACCTTTTCCAACCCCCATGGCATGGGCAGGGACACTTTCCACCATCCCAGTGGCGCTGAGCTGTTGGAGAAACAATTCTCTCCTGTCTTGGTGTGCACAGTTTGTTCCAGCTAGAAAATAATTCATTTATTTCCTTGACAGCCACAGGAACGTGATGGAGAAGGAACACTTGGCAGCTCGGGGGGAGCCCTCGCTGGAAGGACCGACAGCAACTACCCTGAAACAAAGGCAGAAACAGAGTGTCCTGCAGCCGAGGGAGGTGCTGCAGGGTCCAGCCCCGCTCCCACAGCTGGAACAATAGGAAAAGCAGGCTGTGCTTCACACCATTGTTTGCAGCATGAACCTCCTGCCACCAGTTCAGCGATTCCTGGCGGATCTGGGAGAAAGGAGCCCGATTTAGAAAGTGCTGCTGCAGCAGGACACACAGCCCCGGCCCCAGGCTCTGGAAAACAAGGAGAAGTGCCAGGGGATGAGGATGAGGATGAGGAGGCAGCCCCAGGGCTGGGCAGCAGGGCAGGATCCCCCGTGCTGCGGGAGGTGAACCCCGAGGACGGGAGCGTGCGGATCCTCCGCGATCACCGCACGCGCTGCCCCGTCCCCTTCCACAACTCTTTGCTCTACGAGCTGGATTAGTTTCATCGATTCAAGGATTTCCTTCTGTTGTTTGATGCTTGCTCTGACTTCCATGTGATGATTCCAGGGCCCATGGGTTCCCACTGAAACCAGTGCAACACCAAAACCTTCCTTAACTTAAAATTGTTAATAATTTTCTAATCACATCTTTGGCAATAATTTTACTTACAACAAAAGTTTGCAGTTGGAGGTGACTCTGAGCTCCTGGAAAAAAATGTATCTTTATTGTTTACATAAATTTTTTTATTCTCTTCCCTCGTTTCAGGGATTATTTGTATATATCCTCGGTCTAATGGCTCCCTCGGGAATTGAGCAGTAGTCATCATTTTCCAAACCTTTCATTTTGTGATAACTGCAGGATTAGACTCGCAGTGATTCTTAGCAATCAAATGAAATTTCTAATTACCCGGAGAAGTTCTAATTAGTCTCCTAGAAATAATCAACATTTATACCCTGTATTCCATCCTAGTGCTGTGCTTCAGATCTGCAGCACCCAGATATCCCCCAGCTGAACAAATTCCATTGCACAAGAACATCCTCTGGGTGCATGTCTGCTCTGAAGTATTTACAATTGGTGAAATAGATTCTCTTTATCCAGATTAGATTTATTTTTCTCAGTTTCCCTCGAACTTCAGCGTTTCTCACCCCCCTAAAGCACAATAACCGAGAGAACACATCTAATAATAAACTTCCTGTTCCCCTTTCCTCGCTGCTGAACCAACTTCTGTTTTCGTTTGAGAGGTGCTTTAGAGGAGAGTTCATTTTGCCTCATTTCAGGGCACTGCTGTCACATTTCTCTGTGACCCGTTTGGGTGTGTGGTTTCAGAGCTCAGCAGGAGCCACAGCTGCCCCAAACACCTGCCCTGCCCTCCCTGGTGCCACATCCTGCAGGAGCTTTGCTGGGCTCAGCTTAACCCCTTCAGCTTTTTGGGAGAGGTCTCGGAGTGTGAGGCACCAGCACAGCTTCAACACCAGCCCCGACCCAGCGGAACAGAACACAGAGCGATTACCTTACAAAATTTTGCTTAAATAAGCCCTGGAAAAAGAAAAAAAACCCAGCATTTTCTTTCTCTGCCATATTTCTGTGTTCTACAAAAGCTGCTGAGGTGCTTTTGCCACAGCTGAGTTCAAAGAGGAGTGGCCTTAGAGCTGCTGCAGCATTCACAGACGGCTCCGTGGCCCCAGCTCAGCCCCTTCCCACCCCACAGCAGCAGTTTTGACACAGCTGATTTGGAACAACTTTTTCTTTTTTTAAATCCAAACAAAAGAGGTGTTGTGCCACCAATTTGCTACTCTTTTCTGCCTCGATTAATGAGTATCATTAAAAATTTAATGAAGTTAAATGCACACTGCTAGAAGGGGTGATGGCACACGTCCAGCCCTCGGGATTAAAGAAGAGAAACTCCCCCCTCCTTCCCATCCTGACTTTTTAGGAACACAAGATGACATCATCTTTTTGCTGACAATCAAGAACTTCTCTAGGCTTACAAAACAATGGAATTTTTATTTTGGCAGAACTAAAAAAATCATATATTTATCTACATCGTAGTAAAAACAATGCAATTTATTTCTTTTTTTTTTCCATCCTTCATATATTCATCAACACAGCGCAACCGAACCGGGACTCGGGGATCAGGGGCGAGGTGACCCCGGGTGGGACCCCAGGCACCACCAGAGCTTTGAAGCACCAAAAAAGATGCACTTAAAATTGTTCTCCTCCTCCTCCTCCTCCCAGCAAACAGCAGCAGGTCACTTTTTGCGTAGGGGCTGCAGCACGTCACCCGTTTCCAAAACGTGGTTGCCAAACATGAGAGATTACTATTTTGGGACACCTTTAACAAGAATGTTTATTCATATTAAAGCAGAAACCAACTCATAAATGCTGTTTATACACGTGTGTGTGCCTGGAAGAGACACAATGGAACAACTCAAGGAGAAAAGGCGGCTGCGAGGAGGATCCTCACTGGAGTCTGCGGTAACTCTTACAGAGTTCGTGGTCCCTGATGTCTCCCCACCCTCCGTTCTTGACGTGAGGGGACAGGGGAGCCATGGAGTACCTTTTACTGACGCTCATCGCCTCGGGAAACAGGTACTGTTGGTTGCTGTTCAAGAGAGAATCGATTTTGGCACTCTGGGTGGACGGTCTGCAGGATTTCTTGTGGTGCATGCCACAGTCCCCCGTGTGAAAAATCCTGGGGATTTCGGGAACCAGCACTTTCCAGAACTTTGGAAGACAAGAGACAGTCAAGTGCTGCAGAGTCCAATCCCAGTTGTAATCATCGTAGGTGCAGAAGGCGTCCGTGCACTCGATGAGCTTCTGGTAGGTGTCTCTGCCGAAGGCCATGCCCATGTTGTGCTCCGTGGACTTCCACGTCTTCATCTCCACCTTGTCGGCGCGGCCGGCGAAGCCGCCCCGCACGGGGCTGTAGGTGCCCAGCGACACGAGCTGGCACTCGGGGCACTCTCGCTGGCGCAGCGCCCAGAGCTGCTTGAGGACGTGGTAGAAATCGGGCGCCAGGTAATGATCCTCCTCCAGGAAGAGCACGGGCCCCGCGTGCTCCCGCAGCGCCCGCACGCGCTCCCACACGAAGTGCAGCTTCCACCACCAGTGGTGCTTGGTCTGAGCGAAGCGCGCCTCGCGGTAGTGCCCGAACGAGTCGGGGAACTCGGCGTTGATGCAGCCCAGGCGCAGCGCCGCCGCCTTGCCCACGTCGCGGGGGCAGTCGCGGGGGTCGTGGCCCGGGAACTCGCGCGGGTACAGCTGGATGCTGAACGGGAAGAACACCTGCAGCACCGGGCAGAAGTCCACGCGGGCCGCCAGCCGGTTCAGCTCCTCGGCCCACAGGTCGTGGCTCAGTACCAGCAGCACGTTCTCCACGCCCGCCGCCCGCCGCAGCGACTCGAGCAGCAGCCGCAGGTGCTCGGCGCGGTCGTGCACCTGCACCACGAGCACCACGTCGGGCCGCGCCGGGAAGCGCCCGGCGTTCCGCACCGGCTGGTCGAAGTTCAGGCGGTACACGAGCGAGCGGTAACTCAGCGTCGCGTTCTCGGACAGCACCTCCGCCGCCACGGCGGCCGACGCGTTGGCGACGGGGCGGCGCGGTACCGGCGGCGGGAGCTCGCTGACCCGCGGCGGCTCTCCGGTGCTACCGGGACCGCCCCGCTGCTGCTGCTGCTGCTGCAGCTGCTGTCGCCGCCTCCCGCCGCCGCCGGTGCCCCAAAGCGCCAGGGCGCAGAGCGCCAGCGCCAGCGCCAGCAGCAGCACCTTGCGCTTGTAGACGCGCAGCCGCATCGTCCCGGCGGCGGCGGCCCCGCTCCGCCGCTCCCGCCGCCGCCGCCGCCGCCGCCGCTCCCGCTCCCAGCGCGCGCGCGCCGCCGCCGCCCCGCGCGCACACGTTGCCGCTTCCCATTGGCCATCGCCGCGGCAGCCGCCGCCTCGCTATTGGCCGGACGAGCCGTCAATCAACTCGCGGCGCTTCCGCCGGGCTGAGGGGGCCGCGCAGCCGCCGCCGCTCTGATTGGGCGGCGCCGAGAGGGGGCGGGGCCAAAGCGTGAGGCGGGGGGCGGGAAGGGGCAGCGGGAGCCTTCGGGATTGGGAAAAAAAATTGGGAAAAAACTCTGGAAACGCAAAGAAAACCCAGGGAAACCGTCAGGGATTCCCGGGAGTAACATCAAAGAGAAGTGAATACTAGGTTTGAAAAATAGCACGTTAAAAATCATCCTGCAATGACAAGGATAAGGTGAGAAATCATTCTGGAAATGCAAGAATAAGATAAAATCATTGTAGGACTTAAAGAATAAGATAAAATAATTCTAAGATTGAAAGAAAAAATATTCTAAGATTGACAGAATAAAATAATTCTAGATTTGAAAGATTAGGATTATAAACCCATTCTTGAATGGAAAAAATAAGAAAAATCAGATTAATTAATTCTAGAATTGGAAGTATAAAATGAGTCTAAAGTTTTCAACATTAATATAAGAGTAAAATAATTCCAGAATTGCAAGAACAAGACAAGGAAACCTGGCAATTATAATATATAGCAAGATAAAATATTTCCAGAATTGTAAGGACAAGATAAGAAAACCACCCTGGGTTGGCAAAAAAATATATATAAAATAAAACTATTCCGGCGTTGCAAGAATGACACAATAAACTCGTTCTAGAATGGCAGGAAATACAAGAAAACTTCCAGAATGGTAAGAACAAGAGAAAATAGGTATAGATTTGAAAGAAGATAAAATCTAGAATGGTAACAACAAGAAGTTTGTTCTAGGATTGTAAAAATAATTTATTGTAGATTTTATGTAAATAAAATAGTTCTAGAAAGGCAAGAATCCCTGCCCCAATTCCCTTCTCTGATCACATGCTCCACCCAAAAGGTGTTTTTCCATGAGGAATCCCTGCAGTGGGAATCTCTCTCCCTTCAGGATCAGCCCGAGGTCAGCTCTGGTTACATGGGAAGGGAGTAATTCACAGGATCACAGAATCACTAAAATTGGGAAAAACCCCTAAAATTGAGTCCACCCATCCCCAGCACTGCCCAGGCCACCACTGCCCTGTGTCCCCAAGTGCCACATCCACACGGATTTTAAATCCCTGCAGGATGGGGACTCCCATGCCAGACTCCCCTCTGCAGGAAGGAATTTTCCCTAATATCCAAATTAAAGCTCCCCCAGCTGGCACTCAGTGCCACTTCACTGTGCTGCCTCCAAGCCATCACATGTTCCAAGGAATGGGATCCCTAAACACTTCTCAAGGGATCTTTGTTCCCTGCTGTTCCCATCTCCCAGTCATGAAGCAGCTGACAAGACAGGAAATAAAAGAATTTGTGGATATGCTCAACCTTTTGGTGTCTTCCCCAGAAAAATACCAGCAGTTAATTCCTGGAATACCCTGGATGGAAAACTCCTCGGACAAAACACAAATCCACACGTCCACAGGAGGGTTTCAAAATTTATTAAGTCAACACAGTGAAACAAATTCAAGAATCATCGGAGGATTAAGAAACAAAGTTTCAGGCACGTATTTAGAAAAAAGACATTTCTGATATCACAAAGAAAAACCCCCAAAACCACATTTGCTCTGGTAGAAACCCAGCAATGCTGGTCCCTGCTCCCAGTGGGAATGTTGTAACCTTTAAAAAAAAGAAGCACCTAGAATTAACCGGTCTGGATGCGGCTTCTCCTCCCTTGGGAAGAGCGGAGTGCAGTCCTTGCCCGTGGGCAGAGCTCAGAGCCTCACCTGGGAAAGTTTGGGATAAATCCACTTTGTCCTTCCAGGAAGGAACCACTTACCCCACAAAAACCACCAAACTCCGAGCAAAGCCCCGGAAACAGCGAAAGGGAAACACATTCTAAGGGAGGTTCTCTCCAGCTAAACATTGTGTTCCAACCAGAGGAGATTCCAGAGGGGGACAAGAGTCGGGCCAGGCACGTCCCCTCACTCCCAGAGGGATTTGTCTCCACAGGAAACGCCTCCAGGCTCCTCCATCCCCAGACACAGCGGACAGAGCTGGTGTCACCCATTGCTCTGGAGGTGCCTGTCCAGGAACTGTGAATAGCAGTCCAGGGAGCAGAAGTAGCAGAGGACGGGAGCGTCCGTGCCCCCCATGTTGTCCACGAGCACCACGGTGTGCGCCACGTGGTGCAGGTTCATGGTCACTGTGATCTGGATGAAGCTGCTCAGGCAGGAGCTCCCACACCGACACGTTTTGGCCACTTCCAGATCCTTACAGAGGTGGGAAGGGAGGAGGTGACAGCCGTAAGGGATTCTGTGGGATGAGAGGAGTGAGGGGGGGTTCAGCACAGTTACCTGTGGCGCCTGAAGGCACTGACAGGACACGGGCACCAGCTGGGAAATGCCATTCCCAGGACACACAGTGCCTTCAGTTGTAGCCTTCGTGTTTTCCAGATTCTGTACTGCATTAGTGTGTGACTCTGAACTTCACATAAAGCGTGAGAGAGTTCTCCTCACAACTCAGTCAGACACAACAATCCTTTTCCAGCCACTGCTGCAGGTTCAGGCTCCAAAAGTGTAAAAAAAGTCAAAGTGATGGAGCAATCTGGGAGGATGTGGCTTCATAACCTGAAGCTGTCATTGGACAATGTGAAAATGGACCTAAACTTACAAAAGTGTGAAAACACCTGACCCAGGGTCCATCTGGTACTGCCCAAGGTGCATCCTTTGAAGTCTTTTTTAATAAATATCTGCTTTATTCCTTTAACTCTGCCCAGCCTCTCTAGGCATCCCACAGACATGGAAAACCAGAGATTTGGGACTGGTTAGGAATGAAATGCCACTTCCCTAAGGACATGAACTCCGCAACAGGGAGCTCACAGCAATCCTGGGCCACAGCCAGTTACAGAGTTAGAAAGATTAAGAGTAATGAGAATTAGAGAATTAAAGGAAGATTAAGAATAATGAGACAACTGGGCACATTCTGTTCTTCCCTCACATTCTCTGTGTTTGGGCCTGGCCTGGCACAGCACCCACAATTTACTCCTCCCTCTCTTACACCGAGGAGTAGCAGCATTGAATCACAACTCGGAGAAAGCAGGAGATGAATTGAGCCTTTTGCAGCAGCACTGCCCTGCAGGCATGAAATCAAAAGTTTCTCCTGCTCCACAGCTCTCTGCATCCATCGTGTCAGCACTGACATCCAGAGCTGGGAATGGGAATTGCTCCTTTTGGAATTTACAGCGGAGCAGTGTGGAGTTTGGGGTAGAAGTTAAATGATTCCCCTGAGGAATTCTGTCGGGGTAGCTGAAGTGTGGGTCTCAGCAGTGCCCAGCTGGCACTCCAAACTCAGCACAGATCCCACTGACTCACATCCTGCCTCCACCTACACATTCCCCAGCCTTTCCACACACCATCACTCACACAGCTAAGACTCCTCTGGGGCTTTTTGTTTTTCACCACCTTAATTTCAGAACACCCTTTTTTTTCTGGGAAAAGCAGAATCAGGGACTCTGGTACTTTACCAGAATCAAGACTGATTTCCAAACATTATTTTTGCATCTTCTCCTTCTGTTTTGTCCCTTTCCCAAGGTTTTTACAGCGACTGAAATCTGACCAGTGCTGAGGGATTAAATCCTCTAGAAAAAAGCCTTAATATTTACATCAAACCCACTGCAATTTATATAAAGCTGGGAAAGGAGACATGTGGGGTTTAATTATAAAACCAGCAAAGTCAGCAGAGGGTGATTTGGCCCGGAATATGTGGTGGCTCAGCTCCTTTCAGGGTGTGCCCATGGATGCCTTTGGTGCAAATTTCTGCACAATTACCCCGGCTTTATGGGGCACTCCCCACCCTCAAGGCAGGAACAGGCACAAGATGCAGATTAGGGACACTTCCAGCCACTCTCCCCCCCTTTTCTGTGCCAAATTTCTGCCTTTGTGCTCCCTTCCCACCCGGAGCAGGGTGGAAGCAGCAGCTCCCGGTACATGAAGGATCAGGGGTGGAGAGGTGGAAATGGTGTGGGGGAAGAGGAGGGAGCTGATAACAAACAGCAGCCTGGGAGGATGGTATTTACTTGGTGAAATCGTATTTTTTTAAATGACCTCCAAGCTGGGCTTGTCTGAATGAGCCCGAACACCTTCACTCCAACACCAAGGGAAACTGGGAGCTTAAGGAAAACCTACAGCAGGGAGAAGCCTGAAGAAGAAGTGGCTCAGGGTTGTAGAATTGATTCTCTTTTCCCAAAGTTGGCCAAAAATATTCTGTTCATCCCCCCTTGATGGATGAAAACACTTCAATCTCTGTCTTTCCTTAAATGCTTCCAAAGGCACCAATTCCCTGCCTTATCCTGATGACTTGACAAGGGGAATTCAAAGGAATTTTAATCTTATGAAGTTAATGGGTGAGAAAACAGGCACTGAGGGGAAAGGACCAGGTGAGAAGGAGCAGTGCCAGGTGTGCCCTCACCGCCCTTACCTGTGATTGACCGTGGCCCTGGCAGCACACTCCAACAGAGTCAATGGGATTTTCAGCTGGATGTTGGGAACCAGCGGATTTGGCTGCTCAAAAGGATTCCCAAAGAGATCCAAGTTCTCCAGAGAGAGTTTCCTGAAGTCACAGGGCAGGAAGGGCAGCTTGTTCCGTGCGGCCGACAGGAAGCGCAGGTGGCTCAGCTGCCCGATCCTGCAGGGCAGGCGCAGCAGGGCGTTGTCATCCAGCCGCAGCTGCACCAGGCCCCGCAGCTGGCAGAACTCGATGGGCAGCGCCTGGATCTGGTTCTGGCTCAGGTCCAGGAACTGCAGGGATTTCTGCAGGCCCGAGCTGCACAGGGCCCCGCTGAAGGCCTCCAGGTGGTTGTCGTGCAGGTCGAGCTCCTGCAGACACACCAGGTCCCCCAGCGTGGCCGGCAGCTGCTTGATGTGGTTGTGACTCAGGTCCAGCTTGCGCAGCTTCTTCAGGCACAGCACCCTGCTGTCGATCCTGGCCAGTTTGCAGTACGAGGTCTGCAGGTGCTCCAGGGAGAAAGGGAAGCTCTTGGTGAGGGGATAATCCCTCCTGGAAGTGATGATCATTTTGGTTTTGGGTTTCTCCACGTCGGAGTTCTTTGCTGGGACCAGAGGTGAGAGAGGGAGAACTCCGGTGTCGTTGCCTTGGTGAGCCAGTCTCACGGCTGAAAGGAAAGTCTTTAAATTGATCACATTTGCCTGCAGGGGAACATAAGGCTGGAGTTAAAAAAGTTCATTATCCTGGTTATTAACACCTTCTGGGCTGTTTTGTGTGCTGTCACTCAGCAGGGCAATGGGATGGGAGAGGGAACAGCTCTGTTATGAATAATCCGGGTCAAACTGTGCTGCAGCACCCAGGGAAGGAACAAAGCACCGAATCTACAGCTGGAAATGAAGGACAGAACAAAACCCCGAAGCACTGGGAGTCCCCTAAAATCCACCAGGATAAAAAGAACAAACATAAATGGGGAAATCAGAGATCTAAAACCTGAGGTAATAATTCCTGGAAGTTGCTAGGAAGGAAGAGGATGGAAGGAAGGAATGGAAGGAAGAGGATGGAAGCTGGAGTTGAATTCAGCAAAAGGAAGGTGGAAGCTAAGTTGGTGCTTGTGGCCACACACAGGGGCAAATTCTTTACAAACAAAGACCAAATAATGCTTGAGGTGGGATACAATATTTTGGCAGTAAATCCCAGGATGGTTTGGGTTGGAAAGGACTCAAAGCCCATCCAGTTCCATGGCAGGGACACCTTCCACTGTCCCAGGCTGCTCCAAGTCCTGTCCAGTCTGGCCTTGGGCACTGCCAGGGATCCAGGGGCAGCCACAGCTGCTCTGGGAATTCTATTCCAGGGCCTCCCCATCCTCACAGGGAAGGATTCCTTCCCAAATCCCGCCTACTGCTGCCCTCTGGCATCAAAGGCTCTCTCTGACTCTCAATATCAGAGCATCAAGTGGTGTGTATTTTAAATAATGATCCAGAAAGCTCTGATGCATCTGCTGCACTGATTTAATTCACTTTCATGAACATCTGTGACTGAATATTTCCCTTCTAGATTTTCCAGCATGTCTCTGCTCGAGCTGATGTGTGGCTGGCAGGCACTGAGCTAAAAAGTGAATTCCAAAATAAAAACCACATTGCCACCATAGAAGGAAAAGAACTAATTTGGACTTCAGAGAGCCCACAGGTTGTCCTTGTGTTCCCAGCTGTCACCTGCCCAAGCTCAGGGACACATTTTGCACCTCAAACACAATTTTGCCCCTAAACATTTAGACGAAATCTGAGAGGGTTCAGGACTAGAGCACCCAGCAGAAGAAAACAAAGATACTTGAGACAATCCTGGATAGAAATGTGAGAGAAAAAAAGACACTAAAGGTCAAACTTCATTGACTGCATCTGTAAAGTAAAATTATCATTTTCCATAAGCATCCCAAGCACAATTCCTGCTGTGACACCTTCCAGAGGTGGGGAAGATGCACAACAAACTTTCTTTGTATCCAAGGTTATCCAGAGAAGCTGTGGCTGCCCCTGGATCCCTGGAAACGTCCCAGGCCAGGCTTGGAGCAGCCTGGGACACTGGAAGGGGTGGATGGGCTGGGATTTAAGGTCCCCAAACCATCCTGGGATTCTAAGACCACCAACCCTCATTATCTCAGCCAGTCTAACACACACATTAACAGCTACAGAATTTCCCTTAATTCCAGGCACATTTGTGGCATTTCCAAGATAACTAAAATAGGAATTAAATCCAAAAGGTCCTGCAGATCTGTAAGGACCAAGTGAAATCAATACTGTGCACCAGAATGAAGTTACAGGCAGGATTTCTTTGCTCTCAAACACAAAGCACAATTCCCACCCCAAAGGGCCACGTAAGATCTCCAAACCTCTTGATGAGAAACCCTGAATGTGCTGAAGAAAATACTCACACACAAAAAAAAAAAAAAAAAAAAAAAAGCCAATAATTATTTGGAAGAGCTCAGGATGGAATTTCCTGCCCCAAGCCCAAAGTCTCAGCCACAGAGATGATGCTGGCAAAGGAGTTTAAAGTGTGTTGGTGCCTCCATGAGCGCTGCCGAGGAAATCGGAGCTGAGGCGGCTCCAGGGAAGCAGGCTCAGACCTGCTGAAGGGAAATAAACCCCACAAAACACCCAGAATTTATTATTTCTGCTCCAGGGGTGAATGCTCTGCCCTGATGTTTCCCAACTCTGTTCCTGACCTGGCTGAGTGCAGCAAATCCAGTGCCTGGCAGAGCACAAGCAGGGATCTTCCCATTTCCAGTATTTGGAAATCTCTTTTCCACAAAGTTTTTGTTCATCTTTGAGAGTTAAGAAGCTTTTCTGTAATGAAGTAATAAAAATCTGGCAGAAAACTACAGAAAAATTATGATACATCTTAAATTTGGGTTCTGGATTTGGAGAGCTTAAGAGGAACTTGTAATATTTTGAGATCAACTTTTTGATTTTTCACTCTCCAGAAAAAAAATTCAGAGTAAAGGAAGCAGAATTTATTCTGAATCTAATACAAAAGCCTTATTTTTTCCAAAATACAGAGCACACTGGCTTCTCACAGGAAAAAAAAAAACCTGGGTTTGGTGTCCTCCCTTCCTATTTAACCCTTTAACAGGTTCATAGAATTCAGGCTGCTTTCCTCAGATTCAGATAACAGAAACGAAGAAGGATTTTCTGAACCATCAATCAGCATGATTTGCTTCTATTTACACAGCCTGACTCTAAAGTCTTACATAAGAACTCAGAGGTTTTAGAAAACCTGGCCCACTTTTCTCTCCTATGAGGCTAAAAAAGATTCCTGCAACAGGCAGAGAAGAAAAGGACATGAGATTTTAGTGATAATATATGTTTTGGTGAGTTTAGTGCTGTTAAAAACACTTTCCAAGTCCTCTGGGAACTGTGAATAAATACACTGGTATCTGAAATAAGGTGAGACGGTGCCTGTGTGTACTATGAAAGCCATGGTGAGCACACTGATGTTTTTGTCCATGAAAACAAGAGGATTCTCCATTTTTTTTTCCATGAGGAAAAATATAAGGAGCAACTATTTCATGCAATTTAAGGCCAAAGATCAACATTGCATCAGAGGGCTGAAAAGTTTTTTTTCTGAAGAAGCTGTGAAGCAAAGCATGAAAATGGATTTCTGAAGCAGAAGACGAAGAACACAGCCCAGAAAAGAGGGAATGGCTTCCCAGTGGGGCAGGGATAGATGGGACACTGGAAAGGGATTTTTGGCTGTGAGGGTGGGGAGGCTCTGGAACAGAATTCCCAGAGCAGCTGTGGCTGCCCCTGGATCCCTGGCAGTGCCCAAGGCCAGGCTGGACACCGGGGCTCGGAGCAGCCTGGGACAGTGGAAGGGGTGGAACGTGACGGGATTTAATGTCCCTTCCAACCCAAACGTTCTGGAATCCCACCGTCCCTTCCCCGCTTGCCGCGGCGGCTCAGAGCCTGCAGAGCCGCGGCTCCGCCGCAGTTCCCGGCGCCGCTTCTGCCGCTCCCACCTTGCTGAGGCACAGATCCACCGCGGGCTCCCGCAGCCGCACCGTGGCCTTTCCCTCCTCCACGAAGCGCGTGAAGAGCCGCTCCACGTTCTGCTGCACCTGCGGGCACAGCGGCCTCAGCGGCGGCCCCGGGGCAGCCCCGCCGCCTCCCGCCCCCCGCCGCCGTCCCCACCTTGTAGCGAGCCCCGCCGCGGTCCCGCGCCGTGCACACCATCAGGTAAATCCCGGCACCGGCAGCGCCGGGCGGGCGCCCGAGAGACAGCAGCGCCCTCGCAGCGCGGCCGCGGCCCCGCAGCCCGCAGCTGGGCAGGAGCCGGCTGAGCACCTCCACCTCGCACTGCAGCCGCATCCCGGCCCCGATCCCGGCACCGGCCCCGGCCCGCGCACGGCGGGCGGCGCCGCCGGGGGCCTCCCGCGCTGTGCGCGCACAGGCGCCCGCCGCGGTGCCTGCCCGCCGCGCTGCCCGGTCCCGCCCGCCGCCCGGTGAGGGGCGCGGGGCCGCCCGGCGAGCGGGATCGCGGGGCGGGAAGGGCGGGCGGCGGCTCCGGTGGTACCGGCGGCAGCGGCCGCACCGGCAGCGGCGGGCAGCCCGAGCGCGGGCCCTCAGAGCAGCGCCGGGAGGGCCACTGGCACCTCCTGCTGGAGGCGTCTGGTGAGGCTTGGCGGGAAAGGGAGAGAGAAACGGCTGGAGGGACGGGGTGTGAGGGGTCACGGGAGTGAGGGGACATGGGGTGTGAGGGGTCACGGGTGTGAGGGGACACGGGGTGTGAGGGGTCACGGGAGTGAGGGGACATGGGGTGTGAGGGGTCACGGGAGTGAGGGGATATTGGGTGGGAGGGGACATGGGGAGTGTGGGGATATTGGGTGTGAGGGGATATGGGGAGTGAGGGGACACGGGGTGTGAGGGGACACGGGAGAGAGGGGACACAGGGAGTGAGTGGACACGGGGTGTGGGTATGAAAAACGAGGTCCACGTATTTTTTTTATATAGAATTTAAAAAGTTTAGTAGAAAGACAATTAGGAGATAAAAATAAAGTAAAATATACAGATACGGCCGGGTGTCTGCATTCAGCCAAGAGACCACACCTTACTAATAAAGGATTGTCCCGTGTATAAATTCTTACACATAATTCAAACATTCTTCTTAAGTTTTAGATCTTCCTTTGTTTAGTTTCTAACTCTCCCTAATAGATCAATCTTCTCGGCTCCATTCAGTCTCACACTCCGATAACAGCGGTGCAATAAATTCCCCCACCTGGAACACTGATCACTGCTGTCTTCATCTGAATAAGATAATCTAAGAATGCAGGGGTCTCTGACTATCTTTTCAGTCTCTGGGTTATATGAACAAAAGTTGTTTTTGTTTTAACATCATGTTATAGCTTAACATATATGTGTATTATACCACTATTTCTAAGTTTCATCAGTAACAGAAATAGAAGAAACTATATTAATACAACAAAGTTTTCTAACTTTATACATATAACATTAATTTTAATATTTGCAAAAAGCCAATATATGTATCTATAACAAGGGGACACGGGAGCGAGGGGACATGGAGGAGCTGAGAGGACACGGGGTGTGAGGGGACACGGAGGATGAGGGGACATGGAAGGTGTGAAGGGACATGGGGAGTTGTGGGAGGACACAGGAGCTGAGGGTGTTGCCGAATCTTAGGGACTCTAAACACGAACGAGTCAGGTTTAGAAAGGAGACATTGTTTATTCTGCACAGGACGCAAGATGGGAATTGTCCACAAATCAAGAACGCCAGGGAATAAAAAGCAAAATGATTTATACACCAAAGTTTACATAAATCCGCCTATCTAATCCCCAGTTCCCACCTACCTAGTGCACAGTCATGGCCAAGCATGACATAATAAAGTTTTCCATAAACATCAAGTAAAGCATAACACACCTGGTGACATCTGTTGGCATTGAAAAGAGGGGTTAGAGGGGAGAATGGTGCCACCAGCAACAGAGAGCAAAGGAAAGGACAGAGAATTCTGCATAAGAACATGGAGGGGGTAGCAAGAGTGAGGGAGGGGACATGGAAGAGTTGAAGGGATGGTGCGTGTGAGGGGACACGGAGAGCTGAGGGGACAACGGGGAGCTGAGGGGACACGAAGAGCTGAGGGGACACGGAGAGCTGAGGGGACACGGAGAGCTGAGGGGACACAGGAGCTGAGGGGACACGAAGAGCTGGACAGACACAGAGGAGCTGAGGGGACATAGGAGCTGAGGGGACACGGAGATCTGAGGGGACACAGAGGAGCTGAGGGGACACAGGAGCTGAGGGCAGGTGGGTGTGATAACAGCAGCTCAGGCTTCATAAGCGACAGGAAGGCGCAGTGAGGGCTTGGTGTCGGCGCAGCCCGGCCCGTCCTGAGCCGGCATTCATCACATTAACCGCCACTGGCAGAAAAAAAAAAATAAATCGGGGACCCCTTGGATCCGTGTGTTGTGGAGATGTGTGATTTGAGGTGAGATTTGTGTGTGAGGTTTGCTGGGCGCTGTGCATTGAGTAACTGAGCGGCGCGGGGTGCGGTGCGGTGTTGGGGCAGTAGGAGGCGGTGTTTGCGCGTGTTGGGGTCGGGGCGAAAAGGGGGATTTGTGCGGATGAGCGTGGATTTGGGGTGCGCTGGGGCAAAAGGGGAGCCCGCGTGTCTCTGTGTTGCCCAGGCTACGCTGGCGTGGCTATTCACAGGCGCGATCCCGCTACTGACCGCCACGGGAGCTTTGACCTGCTCCGTCTCCGACCTGGGCCGGTTCACCCCTCCTTAGTCAACCTGGTGTCCCGCAGCTCCCCGCGGGTCACCATATTGATGGCGGCCTTAGCTTGGACGCCCGCTCGGCACAGCGCACGGCAGCCCAGAACTCCTGGGCTCAAGCGATCCGTCGGGCTCAGCCTCCCCGGCAGCTGGGACTACAGGCGCGCGCCACCGCGCCCGGCGCTGCCTGCCCGCTCCGCCGGCGATACGAGCTTCCACAGCGCTGACGTCACGGGACGGGCGGAGCGGCACCGCCCCCGCGGTGTGACGTCACGGACGGGAGGGGGAGAGCCCCTCGCGGCGCTGGCGGCCGTGACGTCGCAGGGCGGGAAGCGCGCGCCGCGCGGTGCACGCCGGGAGGCGCCGTGAGGGGTATAAGGGCAGACGGCCGCCGCCATCTTCCTCTCGGCACCGCGCAGCCATGGGCCACCAGCAGCTCTACTGGAGCCACCCCAGGAAGTTCGGGCAGGGCTCCCGCTCTTGGTCAGTGCTGCTCCTCGCGCTCCCCGGGTTGTGGCTGCTGTCTTACTCTCCCCTCCCGCTTCGCTTCTTTTCCTCTCCCATTCACACCCTCCTCCCCGGCGCCATTCCCCGCCCTCACCCGCCTCTCTCTGTTCCCCTCACAGCCGCGTGTGCTCCAACCGCCACGGCCTCATCCGCAAGTACGGGCTCAACATGTGCCGGCAGTGCTTCCGCCAGTACGCCAAGGACATCGGGTTCATCAAGGTGAGCCTCGCTGCAGCGAGATGCGGCTCGTGGGTGCCGCTTTCCGCTGACTCCCCCTTTCTCTCTGCTCTCTTGCAGCTGGACTGAGCGCCGGGAGGATGAGGCGACAGCCAGGAGCTCCCGGGGCGTCTCAGGACCTCCCTGACGCATCTGCAGTGTCTTGGCTCGGCCTTATTTAATAAATGGTCTCCTAACCCAGCTGATCCGTGCGTGCTTCCCTTCTGTACAGGTTTTAGTGGCTGTGGGGGTTCTTGTGTGGGCTGCTCTGCTCGGCTTCCCAGGCTGCTCCAAGCCCTGACCAGCCTGGCCTTGGACACTTCCAGGGATCCAAGGGCAGCCACAGCTTCTCTGAAGGGAGTCAATTAAATGCCAGAGGTCTGGAATTAAACTTCCTGAGTCCTTTAGAGGGGAGTACAAGTGTCTGGGTGCTGTTCTGCTGTTGCTCTGAGGGGACTGACAAGGTAAATGCTCTTCATCACATCTGGGATGCCAAATGCTGATTCTTCTCCTTCTGCAGATCCCTTGGGAATCTCCAGGAGCCTTTGTATTGTCCCTTTTTGTTTATTTATTTTGGTTATGAAATCAATGAGGTGAGGAGGGAATGGCAGAAAATCCAGGTGTGCCCATAGCAGAAGCTGAAGGGCTTTGGGATTATCATGGAATTTGGAATAGTTTGGGTTGGAAAGGACCTTAAAGTCCATCCAATTCCAGTCCGCTGCCCTGGGCAGGGACACCTTGCACTAGGTGGTGAGGAAGCAACTCCTTCCACCTCCTAAATCCGTCTGTGTGTGGCATCACCTGGGGAAGGGTTGGCTTTCTTCACCAGGAGGTGGTTGGGCCTCTCATTTTGGGTGAGAAATGCTTAAATAAATCCTGGTTCTTACCAGACAACTCTTCAGTGTGAAGGTTCTACACTAAAAAATAAAAAATATTCACTTGCTGTGGTGGTGGTTTTGGGATTTTTCCTGCCTGGTTTTTGTTGATGTACTCAGGGAGGGGAATCCTGTGGGATGTGTTTGCTTGGCTTCAGTGTGGTTCTCCAAAACCAGCAAACTCATTGCCTTTTTAACCAAAATACTTGAATTTCTAGAGGGGGGGTTTAACTGAGGTACAAAATTACCTCAAAATCTGAGAGAAACTCAAAATCGGTGATGGGAAGGTCTCTGCAGTTCCCACTGCTGTGTCCAGCTTTCCTCCTGCTGCCTCTCAGAGGTGCTTGAGGCACTTCCCAGTGGCAAATCCATGTTTTTCCCATCATGGACACAGGAGGATGCTCCCATGCTGGGTGCCACTGAGAACCTTGGAAATGGCAGCAGCTTTGGAATTTTTTGGGTTTTCAGAGCTGCAAGAGCTGTTCAAGCCAGGCAGGGAATTGCAGATATTTGTCCCTGTTTCCTGAGCAAAGCTCCTTCCTGATGGTAAAAGGGATTTGGGATCATTTTCCTGGTGCTGCCCTGAGGATCTGGGCCCCAAATCTCTGCCAGAACATTTCCTCATAATGGAAAACAAAAATAAAACAAATAGCTGGGGATGGCCATTGCAAAGCAAATCCCTATTGAAACCAAAGCTGAAATAAGTTTTTAAATTACCATGTGAACATTCAAATACATCTATTGGCACCTAATTTTGTGCAATTACAAAATTCCAATTGCCTTTTCCCGGTTCTTTTGCTCCCATCTTTTAAGCCTGAGGAGAAAGTGGTGTAGGACAAGCTGTAATTCCTTTTTACCTCATTGCTGCCTTAACCAGGTATTTATTGCTCAAAATACAATGAAGATGAGCTAACAAAATTTTAGAATTTGAATTTTCCTGAGCTCAGTGTGCAAATCACATTTTGTTTCTGGTGGCTCCA